GATCGAACTGGCGCCGCAGAGGCCGCGGGCAGCTTCGCAACCCAGCGCTCAACCACTGGCGCCACCGGGGAGGCCGGTGATGGAGTGTTTTTAAGAACGCAAAACACTGGGCTTTTAGCTCCTACCCTTTGTTTAGAAAGATAAAGAAAGCTGGAGAATGTTTATACATGAGCTACTACAAAATTTTAAGTTCTCCCACTCTGATAGAGCTTATCTTTAAAAAAAGTGGGTGCCCGAAACTTCCAGTAAATCCACAGTAAATCCAGTAAATCCCCTTTGCCTGTTTTTGTAAATAAAGTTTTATTGGAACACAGCCATACGTCATCAATTTATATGTCATCTATGCCTTTCTACTATAATGGCAGAGTTGCATGGTGGCAGAGTGGAGTGGCTCACAGAGCATCAAATATTTACTATCTGGCCCTTTACAGAAGAAGGTCATCAATGCTCCCCCCCCCCCATCTCCCCCCAAACATGAAGAAACCTTCAATAAGCTGGCTGTCTTTGCTTTCTCCATGAGCAGGAGGCTGACATCTCTTCCTTTCTCCCAATCTACCAAGTGAGCGTCTAGCAGTGTGAAAAGGAGACAACAGTCAAGCGTAAAAGAAACCAACATTTTCAAAATGTCAGAAGGGGAAAAAAGCTTTATAAATAGAAAAAAAATGATCAACATCATTAAACAACAGGATTTGCCCTGCTTTACATTGATTTTTGTCCCTTAAACTGATTCCAACTTCAAAGGCCCATTATCCCTCATTTGAATTCAAACAAGTTCTTTACAAAGAAGGAACAACCACAGATCTGGGAGGGACCACAGTGCTCAAGATGGGGAGGGCCTGGCAATCACATCAGTCAGTGCAAAATCTGCATTTTATTAAAGACATTTGGGAAGATCCATTCAAAAATACATTGTGCTCAGTAAAAATTAACCATTTCATGCTGATAATTAAGGTTACCACGGAATAGATATTTGTATAATATTTACAGCAACAATAGAAATTTTACAGAAGTTTAGAATGGAATACATGCCAGAAAAAACTTGATAAGATGTACCAACACATGATACAAAGAGTTATATAAACACTTTACAAATGGTTCATAATTAGCTTGTGAAGAATTTAAATATTCAACACTTTAAATTCAGTTTGGATTCAAAAATTAAAAAGGTTAATATACTACATCACACCCTTGCCACAGTAAAAAGTATGGAATTACACTTTGTATTATGGATTATAAAGTCTGTGCAATTAAGAATTTCTACTGATTCTTTATCTACCACAAATTGGATGTTATATCACTCTGGCTTATCCCTATTTTTGTTTTCATGCATGAGCAGGGTTCTCAAAGTCGCCCTGCCCTGTGTCTTCCCAGATATCCCCTTCAAACTTACTAGAGATTGAAGAAGCTCGGAATAATCTTCTAAGTATATACAGATAACTACCTGAATTCAAAATGGCACAAAGCAATTCTTGGAGATAGGAATTAGGGGCAACTATTTAGTTTGGTTTAATTGTTTCTGATAATCCACGTTTACAACGAGAATTTCCTTGTTGCAATCACATTACCCCTCCAGCCTGACTCAATCAGTGACCAAGGAGGAAACACGGAGAGGGAAGTAGACTGACATGACTGGACTCAATCATATATCTCTAGTGAAAATGGATTTGATGCAAGCTTTGCTTTCCATTTTGGGAAATCTAATCCACTGCAGAGAACTTCCAAGTTCTCCAGGAGGAAAAGCGTCACTTTTTCCCTTGAAACTCTGAATGCTCTGAAACTGGAGCGTTTGACAACTCTGGCGATAAACACTTTAATCCCCCCAACAGGGACAAAAGTCAAGGCATCTACCTTTGCTATTCCTGGGTTTCGTCTGATGACCCTGAAGCAGAGCACTAGGACAAACTTGTCTATGCCTGAAACAAATCAGATCAGGCTTTTGGGAAAGTAAAATCCCAAACCAAGGGAAGTCCTGAGGAATTCTTAGCTGTCTGTCAAAACAGAAGGGATGGAAGAACAGATAAGGCCTCTTTCTCCCTGATACTCTGCGCTGGAAGAGTAGCGAACAAGGCAACTTCTAATCTGCATACAACATGGAGACCGATTTTTTAAGATTCCAAAGGAGGATCAAAATATGACCCAAAGATCAAATGGGGTTCAGCGAGCTTACTTAACCTTGTGAGTAATGAAGGGCCTAGAAATGAAACGAGTTTCACTGCCACAGTTCTGCTGGCCCTAGAAATCCGACGTGCAGACTATCAACAAAAAGACAAACCTCCCTCAAATTTGGGAGTGAACAGTTAATGAATGAAAATACAAGGCCGGTGGTGATCATATCGAGTAGCCAATAGGTAATACACTGCAGTGCCTGGAGCGGAGAAAGTTGGAGTCAGGACCAGGCCTAAAGCGGAGGAATTAACAAAGCACTATGGGAAATGGATATACAGGAGTAACCGACTTGGCACATAAGCCTATGATCTTTTATATAGTACATTCAATTAAAAAAGAAGAAAGAATAGGCTAGGGGAGCAGGCCCAAAGTTTCCTAGTCCCTTCCTTCTACCAAACTGTATGTACACGGGCAGACAAGGGACTCCTGTCACAGCTCCAGTCACGCTCCATTTTCTTGCGTTTATGCATGGCTTCTAAGACAGAGCTCTTCACCCAGCTGAATCAGACTTCAAGATAATCTCTAGCTGAGCTGGTTAAGAAGCACAAGGAAGAGATCAGAACGGCCTACGTGCTTTGTTCTGTAAGTTGGCCCGTGAAGTCTGAGAGTAGTTTGCTCCGGGACCTTTTGTACTACCTTTCCTGCAGCCCCCTTGAACGAAATTCCTCTAAAAAACAAAAAACTTGTAACTAAGTTTTCTCTGCCTACACACTTTATTAGTGGTGAACCGCAGGAGGCAAGGACATAGTTCATTATTTTCTGACGTGAAGCAGCGTATCATACCAGTTTACAAAAGTTAAGAGTCTGTGGATCTTCGTGCTCACAAGGAGCTCAGTCTCCCACCAGAAGGCAGGAGGGAACAAACCTCTAAATGTAAAAGTAGTGCTCTCCAGAAAACACGATCTGACAAGGAGCGAACACGCGGGTCTCTGAGTCGCAGCTGAGCTCCATGAGCTCTGGGAGGAAGTCACATGAACCACCGCCCTGGCTGAGGGTCGGGTCACCACCGGGACCTCGGTGAGCAGAAATGGACAGAGCCTTCTACACATGTGCAAAGTAATCCTCTGGCCTTTAAAAAATGTTGTACACATGAGTCATTCTCAATACTTAGCTAGAAGAAAATAAATGGCTTTTTTCCTTATTTACTCTAACAAACTAGTTTAAGAAGTGAGGCTACTATGACGTTAACTAAGAGGTGCTGGGAAGGGAAAATGGGTAGCATTTCCCAGCGAAGTCCACTAATTTTCAGATTAGGAACATGCTAACCTGGCTAACTCTACAACCACAACATACTTTATAAATACATGACGTGACTAGAAACTACCCAGCCATTCTAGCATGAGCTTAGAATTAAAGCATAACTGCATATGGTGAATCTTAAAGCAGGTTTTAAAACAGATTTAACCAAAGTGTACAGCACAAATACTCCTATAACAGCCACATCACAACCACCAATAGTTTTTTGCTTCTAATCAATCAATCTGTCGTATGCCAATATTTGTAAAGAGCTATTAAGTGACTTGAATAAAAAACAAAGACATTTTCTTTTGGGAGCCAGAGCTAAAAGCCACGGAGGCCTTGGAGCAGTTGGTAAAAACCATGCCAATCTGCCAGGCTGCTGCCTGCTTCTAAATATAAGCCTCATGGCTTTATGAAAGATTGTCTAAGGATGCTGACCTAGAACTGAAGTTCTCAACCACCTATAAAGTCACTCTGGTCTCCTCCCAAAGGATTTACCTTTTAGCAGGCCCAGGGAAACAGAAACGAACAGCAGGGTTCCAGGGGTGCAAGAATAGTGGTAGAAGATCCTTTAAGAGAATGTGAAATTGGATTCAGAGCTACGATCCTGGTTCCTCAGGAGGGAACATGGACAGAGCCAAGCTCTGTGGACCGGCGGGCCCGGAACACAGTAGGGCAGGGTTTCTCAACCTCGGCTCTACTGACATTCGGGGCTGGCTCATTCTTTGCTTGGGGAGGAGGGTGTTTCCTGTGTGTGGGGGACGTGCAGCAGCACCCCCAGCCTCTGCCCACTAGACGCCAGGAGCACACACCACCCCCAGTTGTGACAACCAAATATGTCTCCAGACTTTGACAAATGTCCCCTGGGGGGCAAATGTGTACCTGACCGAGAGGCCCCGTGGTCGACAGAGCCCACTCGAGCGCCTTCACATGGAGCATTTTGGGTCTTAGGCTCTGGAGATCAGCCACAATCTCAGCTCAAGACCAAACAAGGTTCTGTAAAAAGTTCATTTGCAACTTCTGAGAAGAAAAACGAGGATGGTGGTAAAGCAAAAGTAGAAAAACAGCAAAGAAGAGTTTCTTTTCAAAAGCAGATCAGCCATACTTCCATAAAACATAGTAATTCATAAGCTATTCTTCAACCTTTTATCCTTAGGCAGTTAGGGCAGATAATAGAGCACGGGTGTCATAAATCCCCCTTCCTAAAGGAAAGGCACCCTCCCGTGACTTTAAAGTGAGTCCTTATTATGGATGGCAAGCTTTGTGAGGTCAATCATTCATCAACCAGAGGAAAACAACAGTTAAAAGCTAAGAGAGGGCCTGTTCGATTTGAGAGAACACTTTACCATTCCCCTCTGTGAGCGGGAAGAGAATGCACTAGATGCTCGATCTGTAGATTGTAGTTCGCTTATAGCTTGCTGAGCTCCACGCAGTCAGAATGGACAAAAGCTGAGAAGAGGTAAAGAGAGCTACCTCAAAAACACTAGTTGAAACGTTGTAGATATTTTCTGGCTCAAATCTGGGAATGTATGAAAAGTATGTATCGACTCTTCATCGGTTAGGTTTACTTTGCTGTAGGTAGGAAGGCAATTATTCTAGCCCTTCTTTGAAGAACCATCACGAATGTAAATGTTCTGCGAACCTGCGATCCCAGTGTCAGCGTGGAGGAGACCTGGGGATCGGCCCCTCGAGCGCCAGAGCACAGCGATGTGACTGCGCAGGTCTGAAGCGTACAGCACAGTGAGAAGTCTTCCCAGAGGAAGAAACGTAGTTTCTGGTTTGCAAGGGGAATGCAAGGTAGAGATTGAGTGTGAAAAAGAAGAGTCACACACCGTTTTAGAGTCGTTAGTATCCAGGCAATAACTGCTAAGGGTCCACGTCACTCATATAATTGAGCAGCTGCCTGGGAAAAGCCAGAATTCAGAGCTACTCGAACAGTACTGAACTGGAGACAGAAACGAGATAGAAAAAGAACCAAAGAGCATGCAAACTACTGGTTTGAATCAAATTGTTTCAATGCTAGTACCCAGTTGAGTTTCATTTTAGTGCCTATTGCACTTATTAAAATTAAATAAAAAGCACCTTAAAATGACCTCTCTATATAATCAATACACATTATAGTAGTTATATAAAAATGCAATATGCACACAATTGAAGCTTCAAAGAAACTAAGACCTTTTTCTTTATAATCTTTATAATCATCGGAGTAATGATTCCCAAAATCTTGGGGGAAGGGGAACAGTAACTCAGCTCATTTCAGTTACAGCTGACTTGATTCAGGGGCTGATGTTCTCAGAATCCAGGGACAAGTAATAAATACTGAGAAGTTACCTCTTTGAGAGGTGGAAGGGGATCTTTAAAAGTATTATTGCTAAGAGACTACTTCCTAAAATCTAATACTTTTGGCGGATGATGGTGTTGCGGTGATTTCTGTCAAGGATGGCCTACAGACACGCTGGCCCAGCTGGCCAATGGCCTCGATGACACTTGGGAGTTGAAGGAGATCAAACGAGGGAAAGCTAAGTCCTGTTCTGACCATGTGTGTGTTGATAAGCATGATAACCTTATCACAGATGGACAGTCCCAGGAAGAAAGTAGTAATTTTCTTCCATAGTAATTTTCTCTACATCTGGAATTGCTTCAGGAGCTGTTTAAGTATATTGGAAAGAGTAATAACAAAAGAGCATTTAGAAATAGAAATGCCACACATGTATCTCACACCCCCCCAGCCAAGAGTCTGGTACAGTGCACAGGATTCAGGAGCACAGAGCTGGTTTGCAAGAGCTGCAGACTGGTGCCTCTTACAACCTCGCAACTAGGAATGTTCACTGGCAAATCTTTGGTCTACGCTCTACACTAATGCTAAGTTGAAGTGCACATTTTCTCTACAAAGACCCACAAGTAACCCTGGATCTCTTTTCCCCTCAGGTGTAAGGAATGTCCCTGGACACGGACAGGAACCAACTGTGTGAGGCCAGAGATGAGGCCTGCTGGAGTTCTCACTGGCCCAGCCGACTCTCCTCCCGTGCGGGCTGGGAGGAGCTGCTGCATCTCCTCTGCTACCAAGGACCGCGTCTAGAGGCTACTGCTGGGGCCTGAAAGCTGAGCAAGGTTCCTACTCTTCCAGCCACACAGCCACAACTCAACTCCCTTGATTAGAAGTCTAATACTCACTTCATATCACAAATGTATAAAAATATGGCAGATAGTGTCATAACGATACTTTCTTTAAATGATTATATTTATAAAACAGACATTTACCATATATATTTATATATAGAATAAAATACTCCTGATGCAATATATAAATGTTACTGCTTAGTTTTTATAGAAACTACTGTAGCTGTCCCACTGCTTCACAATGTTCCAAACAGCTCAAAATAACTTTACATTTAACATAAAAGGTATGATTATAACAGTACAATAGTAATTATAAATAAATGTTACAAATCCTATCAAATATGGAAGTTTAGAAAACAATTTAAGACATACAGTTAGTTCATCTGCTAACCCTTCAAAGGGATATACTCTTGGATTACAATAAACCCCACATTTAGTCTAGGCAGAAAAAAATCTGTGGTAAGGGCGTCGGTCAACATGAATTTTCTGTCCCTTGCAGTGCCAGAAGGTGTCCTGGCTTTCCCAAGTTCACCAGGGATTGCACTAAAGCTGGAACGTAAGGGGAGAAACTGGCAAGAATATTTTCTTTCTCAATGGCACGCTATCTAGCCTCACACAAGACCTGTGGGGTGGCGATCCCTAAGGGACTCTGTGGCTCTAAGATCCCTGACTAGCATTTGCGGCTGCGAGGAGCCAGGCGGCCCCTCACATACAATATTGCACACACCTTCATAAAGCTGAAAATACTGGCTTTCCACCCCAGCCCTGCCCATTCCCCCCTACCTCCACCCCCCTACCCTCCCCGCTGGCTCACCTCCCCCCTCCCTGAACACCCCCCCCCAGCACACATTACAAAGCGGTCTTCTTTTAAATCGTTCAGATTTGGCATTCGGGACCGATTTGTTCTGTTGTAGGGGTGCCCGTTTGGCCCACTCTTGGCACCCAGCTGTTCAGTGTAGGAAGGTCCCTCTGTGGCACTTCGGGTCACAGAGGACACGTGCCAACCAGGGTCCATCTGACCTGGCAGTTGGAGGGCTGGCCTGCCCTTTGGTGTGGGCTCCTGCCGGAGGTTGGTGCTCCCGCCAGAGGCCTGGCTCAGGGGATGGATCCGAATTTCTGAGAAGGAATTTTTGGCTTGTTGAGTTGTTAAGGGCTGGAAGCGGGGATCTGAGGAAGTCGGGTGATTTGAGGCTGAAGAGAGATGTAACAGCTTGCGCAGTGATTTTAACGGCTGGCTCTGAAAGAAAGGACGAGAGAGCATGTGGGATTTAATCTAGAGTAGACTTGAAAGCTGGGAGGAAGTGAGCAGACCCGAGACAAGGATGGGAGGTGGCTGTAGCCAGGGAGGGTGGGCGTGGGGAGGAGGGGTTCGTCCAGCCTTTTCTGTTCTTTTGTTCTTTCTCAGACAGAACCAAAGTTATTTATCTTTAACATAAAAGCCTAGAAATCTAGATAAGGAATCTAGAGCTGGTGTGGCTGATCAGGGCCCAGAGGCCTTGTGTCAGGCTGTATCCCATCTTCACCTTGGGATCTTAGGCTTGAAGTAGCAGGAGGAAGAAAAGAGGACCACGCCTCTCCCTTCTGACAAGACTTCCCCAAAGCCCCATGTAACTTCCCAGCAGGACTTCCCAGCAGCACTCAGGCCTCGGACCCTCGTAGAAGGTAGCAGGGTACCCTGCTGACAACTGCATGTCCCTTTTTGGTCTTATCTCCCGGATATCCCCCTTCTCTTGACATCATAAAATTCAAGTGTTCCCTCCCTTTCTGCGCTTTTACTTTTTTTTTTTTTTTTTTTAAGGGAGGAGCGTAAGACTTGGGTATTCAAAATGCAAAGCACAACATAACAAGCAAAAGTCCTGCACAGCCTCTTAACCACAACCTGGCTGGCTGCTGTGGGGGAGGGCCCTGGACGCCATCTCTGACCAACTATTCTCAGAGGACTCCTGAGCTGTGCTCCGCTATGCCAGGTGCAACGAGGGGCACATTCAGAAGAGGCATGTGAAAGCACGCTGACATTCAAGGCTCTCACTGGCACCCAGGCTCCGGGCTGCAGTCCTAGCCTTGGTACCTCTGGCTGCCAATTTTCTGAGTAACTTTATTCTGAGAGGCACACAGCACCAGAGCCATGCACTTAAGGGCTCAGCAAAGTTTTAATAAAATGTTGAAGATCTCTAGGCACACTAGAAGGATTTGAAGGAGCAGGGCATTGAGATCCAAGGGAAACTGCTGGAGAATGGAGTCAAGTAGAATCGCTCCTGGGCTGTGTCCTCCACAGCCAATCCAAGGTCTATCCAAGAAGCGCTGCGGTCCCATGGATGATGGTGCAGTACACTTCACATCTTAAGGGCTCAAAGTCTGTTCCTTGTAATTTTTATGAAATTGGTATGCTAAGACAATGAGATCCTGGTGATTTTTATAGCATGGACTACATGTAACTATTGAAAAATTACAATAATCTTCAGCTGGAGAGATCATTAGCTGAAAAGAGCTCATTGGCAAAAGAAATGGTTACACAAAGAAAATTTTAAAGGCCCATATTTTTTTATTTTAAATTGGGATAGACTGTGAGGCCCTCATTCAGAACATTGGGTTCTTAGTTTAGATGCATGTCCGATAACTTGGATATCTGGTTCTCAACCCTCTCTCTGTCCCCTAGCCTATATTATGTTAGCAGAAAATATAGACGGTTGGGAAAATACTTGAGATTTGGAAACTCCTGTCAGCATGTGTAAGTAGCAGCCTAAAAGAGTAAATAGCAAACCTATAAAAATAGACCCTCCTCTTTATCCCAGAAATCTGTGGTCATTCATAGGCATAAGCAACCCTACAGCTCAGGAGGGCTGTCAGAAATGATAGCACACGGCAACAACAGATTTATAAACCACTGAACAGGATCACAAATCATGTTAGATTATACTGCTATGTCGATTGTGAGACACTGAAATGTTCAAACTCCATGTTAGCACATTCCCAATCAAAACAGTTACTTAAAGGAGATAAAGTTCAGTTACCTGAAAACGGACTGGTTCAGTTTCTGCTTATCCCCCCTCACGATGGATAAATGTGATTACAGAATACGGTCAAACAGGCAGTTCCTAATGTAACTATTTGGCAGTCTTCTATCAAAAACAGTATGGATTTTAGAAGTTTAAATACACTGTCAAAAACGTTCAACTTCTCTGTCTTTCAAGGCCCAACTCACATGCTATGATCTTTAATGAAACAATCTTCCTATTATACCTTTTCTCATCCTCCCCTACATTTTATGGTATGCCTCACTTTTTACCAGGAATGATGGTTACTTATTAATTTGCTCTTGCTCCTAGAAGCAGAGTATTGTGGGCTGGGACCACGTCTCGAACCTCCCCCTTCAGCGCCTCCAAGCCCACAGTGAGGTGAAGGCTAATAAAAGCTCACACTTTTCCCAGGACATGGGTCACTGAAACGAGATTCATCTGGACTTCCAAGATGCAGCTGGTGACTGGTGAGGGTATATTTTGAGGAGGCTTTCATTATCTCCTGCAATACCGACAGGCCAAATTTCTCAGCCCCGCCCTCCCCTTGGGAGAGACGCTGCTGAGTCTCAAGCAGTGGTGCAGGAGCCACTCACTTGGGTCTGTAGATCGGAGAGCTTCTCAGGACGCCACTCCTTTGGTCTGCTGCTCGGGGTGCTAGCAGTGTGAATGGCTTTCTGTAATGTCAGAAGATCGGGGCCATCAGAATTGGGCACCTGCAGCAGAATATGACCAGGATTCAATAAGCCCACCAACGAGCCTGATGAGATGTGTAACCATACCCAAGAGGAGAACAAAAGCAAATCAAACCAAACCAAAACTCAACTAAAAAAAAGACCCAATTAAAAAAAAAAAGAAAGAAAGAAACCAAAACTCTCCCAAAGGTCACAATGCAAGTGATGCTAGTTAAATTCTGCTGCCCTCTTAATAATTTTCCCTACATTAGGAAAAATTGGCAGATGTCATGCAGCTTTGTTAAAACCTCACCCTTTAAAGCATTCCCATGCTGTTAGTTTTAGTCACTGTGAGAGAGAGCAGTTAAGTTGGGCTGTACCAGAAACTGCTGTTGTACCCTCATTCCATATTGCAGTTAGGTTATGAACCAGTTCAATAAAACAAGAATTTGTTCCTGCTGGGAAAATGATCCAAACGCTGTATTTGGTGGTGCCGAAGATGTCTGTCTAGCAGGCTCTCAGGGATGGCCAAGTGGGAAAGTATGGTTTGAATCATATTCCCAAGACACTGCCCAGTAAATCTGGGTCTAGCATTACGCACTATGAAAATGCTAGAAATCTGTGCCACACATTCCAGGTGAATGCAATCGATCCGTTCACCGATTCTGGTGAACTCAGGAGAGTAATGCCAAATGCCAAGCAAAAGCCCTGGCTTTAAATTAAGTGACCGGCAGAAGCTCGAGCCAGGCAAGGAAAGAGCAAATTACCAACTAACAGAAGCTATTTTTTCATGGAGCCTGCGAGCTCACTCAATGTGATCAATTCAACTTGGTTTTCAAGCAACAAACTGCCAACCAAGTGTTAACAAACTTTGTGAGCCAAATGAAAAGACATTTATTAATTATAAATGTTAATCGAATTCTTTAGAGGAAATAGGGATTTTTATGGATGCTGTCTGCCAACAATTGACTAATCCAACAATCCAAACTAGCCTTTCGCTAGTTTGTTTGTTTAATAGTCTTTTATGTGTTAACCCCCTTAACTGATTTGGAAAATCCAGAATGGGAAAGAATTTATATCTCAGTGAATTTATGGAACTGGCTCAGGTACTTAACTAGCATAAAGAGAATATGACCCCATGAAAATAAAAAACATGCTGTTGTCATCAGTAAAACAAGTTTACTGGAGCAGTTTTCAGGGCTACCATACATAAAAATGGGTACCATGGGTGGAGTGACTACAGGAAGCTTTTTCAAAGAAGAACTATGCTTTAAATGATTCTTTGAATTAAAAAGAGGAAAGAGGGATTTCTTGATGCTTGGATTCTCCCCGTTGGTGGAATCTGTCTGCAATATAAGATACAAATAAACTAATTGCAAAAAAAAGAAAGAAAAAAAAAGGTGTTTTTATTGAACTCCTAGCCTTTGGAAGCCTCAAATTATTAACAGCCACTGAAAGAACCTCTGTGCTGTGTGGGCATCTAGAAAGGATCTATGTCATTTCTCCCCCAGACATGAAGAGGCCAAGTATATAAATTTAAGACACGCACAAACATCTACGTAGAGAACATGTGGCCGTGGTCAACACTGTATAGTAGAAATGCCTACAGCCCTCCGTGTCTGCTCGCGTTGAGCTTACAGACACCTCAGATTTATTCATTACCAGAAAATGTGATTATAAAGAATTGTGTTTAAGAGCTATTGATGTACTTCAGTCTTTTCCTAATTGCTAGAGAGGACTTTAGCAACTAAATAATCTACCACATAATATGCCTATTAGGGGGAAAAAAGATAGCATACACCCTTTTGGATTTGGTCAGCTCTTGAACCAGAAAATATCACTTGGAAGAGGAACATCATCACTGCCGGATACTAGTGTTGGGTGAAAAGCCTGGATCCATGCTTCTAGAAATAGTTATCGGATAGAAATGTCTGGCACAATTTAGAATACGAGTTTACAAAGTGAAGAAACAGAAAGTTCAATCTTTAAACTGAACATCATTGCCAGTTGACTAACTAGGGTACAATTACCAAGTTGGCAAAGTCAACGTATGCTCTGAGGGCTTATGTAACTCTCTGGAGACAGAACTGAAGCCAGATTTCCCAAGGCGGCTTCCAGATTTGCTTGAGTCAAAGCAGGCACCTTGACAATACAGAATGATTTTTTGGCACCACCTTTCCCTGTTTTGGTGAGACCTTGAGTGCCAGAGAAGTAGAATGTATATGAGGGTATTCAGATCATCTTGTACGGGTGTATACCAGAAGACATATGAGTAGCTATCCCATGAGGTTCCCTGTCCGCGTGACTGGCATTGCTAAGGAGGACAGGAGAGAGTTCCTGGGAACAAGTGGCCAGAATCTCTCCACAGAAGTGGGCCCATGGAAGGCACTGAGCCTGGGCCTGCTCTTCAGGAGCGCCCGCCTCCAGTGCTCCCAGATGACCTCAGGCAGCTCACAGCTTGTCCGGGCAGTTCCTCTATCAGTGAAATAAAGCAGTTAAGCTAGAGCGAGGACCCACTAAAGCTTTAAAATGTACCGGGTACCACATTTCCCTTTTTTGGATCTTATACAAAGGCCACGATGCTTTAAATTTTCCAAAGCTTATTTACCTGGTTTCCTTCTGTTGAGTTCTGGAAAGTGAAAAAAAGAGTTCACTTTAATTCTGTTTAAATACTCATTCAAAGGAGGCGGAGTTAAGGCAAAGCCAGGCTTAGGAGCCTGAGGTCTGGCAGGATATACTGAATACTCTTTGGAGATCTTACTCTGGGTACCAAAGTTCTGTAAAATTATTTTCTTTTAACTAAAAAATGTAGCAAGATACAAACAACTTCTGGTTTGGAAGGTTTAAGGCATTGTGACCTGTACAGAGATATCTTGAAGTAACTTTACATATTCATTGAAAACCTAAAAAAAAAAAAAAAGGAAGAGGAACTTCCTTTTGTGTTAGAGTCATAATTTTATTTATCCTATGCTATTTAAACATCTAAAATTTGAACCAGACATGTAGTAATTGAATCATTCAACATGTACATACTCAACTCAGGCCACAGTGAGCCAAGGGCTTTATGTTCAATGTTGGTCTAAGGTAGATAGACATCAAAAGTTAAACCTATACACAAAACACCATCAATTCCTTAGTTCCTCCTATTTTCTGCCACTTAATCACCCCACAATGGCTATACATCTGAGGTTAAGAGCAGAAACAAACACCTTGAAGTAGAAATAATGGTGATTAGGAGGTAGTGTGAGTTTAATGCTCATGATGGATAAATACGTTCTATACACAATGATAAATGTCTTATTTTATTAGTATTTTAAATATTTGACTTCTCTACCCAAAATCAGGTCTGTTTTGTTCATCCTGTCTAACAAATGCAGCAATAATTTGAGTGGCATTGTGATTTGACATTCTGTTTTAAGTGAGCTTCAATTAGAATACAGGCAGTTAAAAATTTTTTCCCCAGGAATATTATGTAGCCATTAAAATGAAGATAGTAAAATCTGTGTAGTAACATACATAGTATAGTGTGTGTATATGTATATACATGTGATACAATTAAAAGCCCCAAAATAAAATTGTACTAGAATGCTCACTGCTATGTACAACTCTTTCCACACACATATGCACAGGCTAAGGAAATACACCAGTCTTAATGGTGGTTGTGGTAGGGTGGTAAAAATAGAAATGATTTTTTCCTTCAATTTTTCTGAAACTGAACTCATATTTATTTTATAATGAAACACATAAAATTAACAACTTAGCAAGTGAAAGAATAACCTAGAAAGGTAATCTAGGAAGGCCTTTGTCAATAGTTCTAGAATATCTGTGAGGTAAAAAAATCCTTACTTTGGGAACAATATGCTTTGCTATCATTTATCTCATCTTTACTTACCATTGACTCATAATCCTAGAATTTTCACAATGGAAAGGACCTCAGAAACATTGCGTCTAATCTACTCACCTTACAGATGAAGGCAAGGAAGTCCATCTAAACAGACCATTCTGATCATGCTTTTTTCCTTTTTAAATAAATGAGTCAATTATGTATGAAATAAAGCTTGAGACGAAATCATTTAAAATCGCTAACTCAACCTTGCCTGGCCTTGCAGGTGTCATAGAGCAAAAGGGGAGGCAGGCCCCACGGGGTAAGAAACTTCTGCTGCTGGCCGGGAGGCCTGCCCCCTCTCTCCACCCCCGTTTTCTCCCGGCACTAATTCTCCCAGCAGAATTCTTGCGTGGTCGGTTCCGTGACATAACGTGCATGGTTCCATGGAGCCAGCCCTTGCTTCAGGCAGGGGCTCCCAGGAGATAAGACTCATTCCACTTCACAGTTCAATCACAAGATAAACTTGTCTTCCTACTAAAGCAAGTCTTCAAATGTGAAATACAATCTCCTCTGTGTGACTATGCAGCCCAGAAACACACTTGTCAACATGGGAATTCGATAATGAGCCAGGGGAGAATGACGAATGATGGTGAGCTATGAATTGCAAGATTTAAATGTAAACCAAACCTGTTTCCTGCATTTTCACATATCTCTAACCCCCAGAGAGAAATAAATCCCATGACCTCATAGTTGTTACACGAATATAAATCTACAAGGATAAGACATTTATTGAGAGAAGATTAAAGTATTCTCTCTCATCGAAATTAAATTTTTTCTATTCCTAGAGATCCTGCTGAATCTAGAAAAGGTTGTGTGAGGGAAAAGTAGTTGTACAGAATTTGAGACACATATATAGCATCTGCATGTCAAGTATCAAGAAAATGATTCATTTTGATTGCCACGTACGAAGTGGCCAGGGCCCACAGGTAGATAGATACAGATGTGTATGCCACTGTATAGAGAAACTGGCCATGTACTTACTGTTTGAGATTTCTTCTTTTTCTTTTTCATTGACCTGAAAAACCCTTGTTTTTCCTTTTCCTTGAGTTGTTCTGAATGACTAATGTTTTCAGGACTTTTCCTAAATGAGAAGACATATTTATCATATTGGTTTTTCACTCACTCTCCTTCCATTATACAACAAATATAATGAAGACTAAAAATGCATGACACCAGGTTCAACTAGCCATGAAGAATCAAACAGAGGTAAAGAGCCTCTAAAAAGCAGAGGAGGAACTGAAGCTAATCAACTGTGGTTAATGATTAGCCTTTGGTACAGGTGCACTTGAACTAGCAATTTGAACACTATTACAAATGATCTGTCACTGTGTGGCAGGACCATCCCTCATCTGTGGAAAAACCTCAGATTTTGTGTTCGCAAAGCACGCGGTTTAAAGGATGCCTTTCTGTCACCTTCTAAGGGAAATAGAAACATTCCCCTATCTTCATTTTTCTATTTACCTTTTTAAATCAGTGCAACAAATTTATTATTAGTGACTTGCCAAGGTACTAGACACACACACACACACACACACCAGTGCTATAAGGAAAACATTGTAAATAAAAGTAAAAATTGCCTGAAACTGGAAAATTCCTTTATAAAAATCTTACCTCTATTAATTAAAACTAAGTAAGAACAAAAGGTAGGCAGGTTGACTACTTTAAAACATAGCACTCTTCTGGCTAACTGAAAACCCTGACATTACCCTTCCATCCACTGACACCACCAGGAGAAGGTAAAAGATAGCACTAAGACACCTTGGCCCCAATGAGCTGGCTAATTGTATGTTAACAGAGGCCCTACTTTACTTACAGTTTTTTATAAAGCAACTCAAATGCTGTTATTCTTGGAAAGGGCGCATTCCATAGCCTTTATTTTAAATTTGAATATCTACAGGAACCGTGAAAAATCATTTTTTCAAAAGACTGCATTCTTTCTACTAGCTAGTCCACAAAATCCAGTGTAGAAACATTATAGGTGACAGTGTTCACTCATACTTAAGGTTTTAGAAGACCTAACAGTGATGATGAAGTTACTAGAACATCTAAGAAAATATAAGCAAAGGAGAATCTTTAAATCCGTGACAAGGCAGAAAACATCTATATCTATTACAGACCCACATGACAGAAAACACCACGAAGCTATTAAAAATAAATCACATCTTCAAAAAATTTTCTCTAACATGAAGGAATATCCTAACTACAATACTAAGTGAAAACAGAAGGATTTCAATCTTCCTAGATAATATGAGCCCAACTGTATAAAAGCAGGTATATATGCACACTCTAAAACAGGCAAGAACAAAGTAAAATAGAATCATAATAGCTAACATCTCTGGGTAGTAGGGTTACTGGTGAGTTATTGTTTCTTCTTTTTAACTTCAACAACAAACATGTACTACAGATATAATAAAAAGGTTTTATGAAGCCCAGAAAATGTATTTGAAAAACCAAGAACTGGAGATCAAAGACAGGGAAGAGACTTAAAAAGAGACAGGGGGAAAAAAAAAAAAAAAGGAAGTTGAAGACCATGACCATTTGAAGGAGCAACGCCCATTTCCTCTGGAATGTTTAGCCTAAAAGTTAATGGGAATACTGAGGAAGTAAAGACAGGTACAGCAGGCTCGAGTGTTCTTGAAACCCATTAGGGTTTTAACCCCAATGATGCAATTTTAAACATCACTGAAAGTTTCAAGTTCTGAAGTGAAAGTTGGGTAATACAACACAACCAGTAAAATGACTAGAATGATGCATTTACAACTCTGAAAGCTAGAGACCGTCAGACGCGATGAGAATGAGAATGGAAGGTTGAGACGTTCTTTAAATGCAGTGTTGTACTTATGAAAAAAACACTCTCACCCCATTGACAGACGAGTCCTAGTCCCTGGCAATGTGGATCCAATTTGTTATTGAAGTGCAGGAATATGAATAAAATATAACTTAAGAAAAGGCTGCCATCCCAGAGTTCGTCATTACTGTAACATTTAAAACAGTATCCTTAACTTCTCTAAAGGCTCAAGGAAGCTTATGGACACTAATCACATTCCTGCTGAGTTTCTGTGGACAGACAAATCGGAGATCTAGAACACAATACCATGATGATTCTGCCCAAAGAAGCCAGCACAAAGACGGAAAACTGGGAGCTTGCAAAAATGTGAAAAAAAAAAAAAAAAAATTAAGATAGCAATAGAAACCTGACCCATCACGCTGCTCAGCGAAAACCCACCCTCTTCTGAATCAAGACTCCTTCCCCTAAGCTCTACCGATTCGAGATGGCTTCCTGTAGGGTGCTCCAGTATCTGAATAAACTTAACTTTCCTAATCCCAGCTCTTGTCTCTCAGGTTTGGCTTGCTAGGGGCGAGGAGCTGAACTTGGGTTTTGCTGCGTTATGACAAGTACTTTTGAGATTAAGGAGATGAAACCTTGGCAAAGACAAACCCCAGGCCACAGCATCCAGTCAAGTGTGGGGTCTGGAGGACACAGCAGAACAGTGTAGTTTGACGAAATCATAGAAGCACTAACCTTCGGATGGAAAGGAGTCTCAGAGAGCACCAAGTTCAACCAGTAATAGTATTTTTATTGTTCTGTAACTTTCATAAGTTAAAGAATTATTTGCTTATATTGCTTATGTGCTTCCACGGTGGGGCATATGTAACCTCGAAACACAGCAGAGTATTCAGATTAATGGGTAGGAATGTTTATCAATCAGAATGAAAGTCTAATCCAACAAAATATCAAAGTTCTACCAAGGGTTGGTAGGAAAAGTGCTTTCTACCACCTTAGGAAATCTTCAGGGGGGCATGTTCAGCACAAGTGCAACCTCAAGATGGGGAGGGGTGTTAGCTACTGCTCTTGTGAGGGGACGGGAAGGAAGGCTAAGACTAGACTTCTGGGGAGGAGGATCTGGGGTTTGGGAAGATGAAAGTGAAAGGATGTGTGGGGGGGGGCAAGGAAAGAGAAGCAGGATGAAAAGCCCAGTATTTGCAGTTATTTGTGTCCCCAAATACAGGAAGATGAATCAAATACCCTCCGCACGGTCTTTTCAGAGGCACTGGCTAAATCAGAGCCCGGAGAAGAGGGTTTGATGAAGAAAACATCTTCAAACTGAAGCTGAGTAGAGGCAGTGGAGCATAGGTCCAGGCAGGGAAAGATCAAAGACACCAAAACAAAAGAGGAACTAAATTGCCCTTGAACTAGAGGATGCGAGTTAGGAGTGAAGCGTGAGAGTGCGTGTGTGACAAAGGAAACAGGAGGAAGTCAGAGAGAAGAGCACAAACCGGAGAGCGAGGGGGCGAGGGAGAACAGAGGCGGGGAGGGCAGCTACAGGGAAGTGTACACAGAAGCAGCAGAGAAGCAGAAGGGAGGAAGACCAAGGAGGGAGATTCTGAGACATCTGAAAGCTGCACTGAGCAGTCACAACTAGTATTAATAGCGCTAAACGAGCAAGAGTGTGTCCTGTAACTGGTCTCATTTGTGATTCTGGACCCTGCCATTCCGCCCGGTACAGTCAATAGGTGGGTCCAGGAGGAGCAGCAAAACAGAAGGGCAAGTGGGACAGGAGCCTGGCGGACTTCCCTGGTCCTCCTCCACCCTGAGGGGAGGGACAAGTAGCACGGGGGAGGGATATGTAGGGGGCAAACACTCTCCTTCCTGTACTGCCATCCGACTCCAACACAGCTGATTCCACAAGCGGTCATGAGGAAAAATTGCAAGACTTACCTGAAAAAGGAAGAAAGTAAAATAGACAGAATCAAAGCCACCCAGCACTGATGGAGAACCACGTATGTGCCAGGCCCCACGTCAGGTGTGGGAGACAGAAAAAGAAAACAAGGAGTGTGACCCCTCGTGGCTCACAGATTTAAGGTGGGGGACCCACAGATTTGACAGACTTGAGAGTAGACTTGAGGGGCTTCAGGGACACCTCTGGGGGCAATGTGAAGATGAGTTGAAGAGAGGGGTGTTACTGACACTCTCGTGCCACCTCCTCCCCCCTCACTGCAGTGTGACTAGGGTGGGTCCGCTGATGTCTGAGCAGAGAAAATCAGTGAATAATTCTGTGAGTTATGGTAGTAGCACTAATGGATGCCAAAGATTCATAATTTTACAAGAAGAAAAAGCCTACAATTGTGCAAGTGAGTGACAGCCATTCTTCACTGATCTTAACTACAGGGACTCCTAATTAATTTGGTTTACTGTTTAAGCATCAATTTTTAACCCAATTTTGACAGCAGTCTTTCTAAATGTATTTATACACGTTGTCTTTTTAAGCCAAGTAAAAGCAGCCCATTTTATAAATATATATTCTCCTTGAATATCTAGTATAATATGTATGAAACCACAAGGGCTAGAAATGATTTTCCTACTGGGGCCCCTGGAAAAGGCAAAAACATCCCTCTTCTCACACAGCTGTTATTTGGGATCTTTTTCCCTCTGCACACTGTATTGTGACCCAGGATTATTCTCACCCTACGACGTCAGTGCCAAATGCTCAAATTGTGCATGAAAGAATAAACAGGTGCAGAGGGAGGGTGGAGGAGTTTTCCCATTAGTAACGATGATGAATCTAACTGCATTGGCTATTTTTCTTAAGATACTTTGGCTTAGCTTCCAGTTTTTACAGGACTCTAGATGTCTGAGATGGTCAGAATAATCCCTCTGGATATTATACTGCAGTATCTGTTTATCACTTTAAAATATGACATAGTAGCTTGATTGTTCCATTGCAGGAAGTGTGTATATCCCACAAATACTCTCTTCTCAAAAGAAATGTGAAGTACTACTATTAAAGCGAAACAGACTGCCCTTAGCTAAGGGATCACTGAGGAACAGCAATTCATATGTCACCACAGTAAGGCCCTTTGGTGTTTTTTTTAACAGTTATCAACTTGTGCACTTCTCTCACATATATACAGTATAGGGAAGCAACCAGAGGTCTCATTCAAGAAAAAGAAATCATGAGGCAAGTTTACTGACTTAGAAAGGGCTAGATGCGATGCTGAAGGGGTATCCTAGCAGCAGCATCACGGCAGTGCTGGTCATTCTGGAACTCTCAACTGCAGGATCAGAGTAAGGACAACTTGATGAGGACTTGGCTAACATTCAATGTCACAACATGGCTTCTAATTCTCTTTAAAACAACTTTTCAGGTTTGTATACATATTCAGGCCTAAACAAGCTCTACTCAAACTGATTACCCAACAGATAGAAACAGTAAATCGCTAACACTACCTACCTACCCCACATTTGGGTTTAATTTTTGTCTGACCAATCTAATTGTCATAGAACTAAATCTGTAACTGATGTTCTTTTTAATATACTTTTTTTTTTTTTAAATAGAGGCATGTTTTATTTATTTATTTGTTTGTTTGCTTGTTTTCTTTATACATGCACTGGGTACAGTCAGAAGCACGGGAGGGTGAGAGAATTCACCAGAGCCAGAGCGGGGAGCAGAGCAGGCAGAATGACGAAGTACACTGCTGAGGGGAGCAGCGGGCGGCAGGAGAGGTCTGCGCGCCATGTGGGACCCTCCTCCGGTGGCCGGGGAGCAGCCGGGGATCGAACTGGTGCCGCAGAGGCCGCGGGCAGCTTCGCAACCCAGCGCTCAACCGCTGCGCCACCGGGGAGGCCCTGTAACTGATGTTCTTTTAAACAACCATTGCTTCATTATGCAATGACCAGGAAGAAAAACAATTCCTTCTGTACTTCTGTATTCCCACAATTTAGACATTTTCTCATGTCACAAGCCACACCTGAAAACTGTCATGTTGGTAATTATAAGAAGCTGGACCACGGGGCCTCGCTGGTGGAGCAAGGGGTTAAGACGCAGCCTATGAAGCTATCCGCAGCCACTGCAGCACGAGTTCGATCCCCAGCCAAGGAGCTACCCACATGGCACAGCAGACCTCTCCTGACTCACCTGCTGCTCCCCTCAGCAGTGTATTTCAGTCAATTTGCCTGTTCTGTTCCCCGCTCTGTCTCTGGTGAATCCTCTCACCCCTCCACACCTCTGGCCTGTACCCCAGTTCTTGTATGCATAAATAAATAAATCTTAAAAAAAAAAAAGAAGCTAGACTTGTGCTCTAAGTTTAATGACGAGGAGATCTATTATATATTTTGGAGCATAAAACAAGCTCTACTCAAACTGATTACCCAACAGATAGAAACAGTAAATCGCTAATCCAAAATATATAAATCCAAAATATATAAAAAGAATGCGCTAAAGTTTATCAGCAAAGTTAAGTAGAGGGTTTCCTCTGATGAGTCTTATGGAATTCGAGGCCATTATCCAGGCTGCTAATGTTTACAAGGCCTAATGGGACCAGGCAGGGTTCCATGTGCTTTTGAGGTATTACCTCATCGAGTGATCACATTAGCCCTCTGAGGGAGGTGCTGCTCTTAGCCCTGTTTTACAGAGGAGGAGGCCAAGGGGCAGAGGAGTTAGACAGGTGGTCAGAAGTTGACATTAATGGAGATAATGTATTTACAGAGTCTAAGCTTTTAGTCACTAATGTTAAAACTCATTCTGATAAACAAGGCAATGGGATGTAAAATGTGCTTATAGAAAAGAAATTATAGCTTTAAAAATTATCTTTACTATTGTTGAAGAAATGAATATAGGAAGGACAGAATTGCACTTTTGGCAGTGAACGTAATGTAGTACGTACACATGTTGATTCTGATGCACACTGAAAACATACAATGCTATATAATGCCATGGTACATCAACAAAAAAAGAAATAATAATAACATATATTTTCCAAAAACCTTAAGTTATTTTCCCTGTAGGGTGCAGTAACACTGAAACTTTGATATTATCCTTCCAACAGGGTCCAAATTGTGAAACCACGTAGCGCCAGGAGGATGATGACGTAGGTCCCTCTGTTACTTCTGGCAACAAACACCAGCAATGGAATCTAATGGACTGGGCTTATTCTCACTTCAGGGCATTACAGTGAAGCACCATATTTTATTTCTTGGTGGAGAACTTAGTAATGGTCTACAAAGTACACAGAAACACCCCTAACAACAAGATTGTGAGCCATTTTTCTGGACAGTTGAGAACAAAAAGTGTACATTACTATTTAAAAAAAAAAAATACTCCCGGGACAGATCTGCTAATGGGAATCGGTACATGTTTTAATTCTCAGCCCTGAATTTGTATTAAATATGACAAAAAGATGAAAGGATAAGCAAAGTTAGCACATCATTGAAGAGTTCTTCCCCTATTTCTACCTTTTCACTCTGAGTCAAAACTGTCACGTTGGAGGTCTCGATCCTGGCTCCCTCCTCCCTGTTACTGACTGGCCAGCACCAGGCAAGCACCTTCCCTTTCCAGAGCCACAGTTTCCTCATCTGCAGAGTGGGAGCCACTCTCTCCTTCAGAAGCCGATTGTGAGAACGGAGACGGTGAACACGAAGAGCTAAGTAATGTGTCTGCTACATGATTCGATAGCAACAAAGAGGAGAGAGCAAAAGATGTGGTTCATGCCACCAGGACGCAAAGGAAGACTTAGGAGATATTGACCCAGGATATATTTTTTTTTTCTTTTACATGATATTTATTATCAGCGCTGAACTTGAATACACTACCAAAAAAAGGGTAGATCACATTTTCCTCATCAATCTCTCTTGAAAGGCCTACCAGGAGAAATAATACTAAAAAGTTTATCTAGAATTTCTTTGAAATCTCATATCAACAACAAGATAAAAGAATAGTAAAAACAAACCAAAATACTCACCATGGATCAAATGCTGTTTGTCTCTTTGGGTGGTTAGTTCCAGAGCTGCTCTCTGATGGTAGGGAAGAAACTCTGGTTGACACATTATTTTCATGGAAAGAATTGTCTGGACGGGGAGATGGCACTGAACAGAGAAAAATCACAATGTACTCTTCCCATCCAAGTACTACCCAGGCCTGACCCTGCTTTGCTTCTAAGATCAGGGATGATTAGGTATGGCTGTGGGCAGATGAACTCTTGGTCAAAGCAGTTCTCGTGTTATTCTACTGTCTTTTCTTACACACAACTAAAACAAATAAATCAAAATCCTAACCTACTCTTCATATAGTTTTTGCATTTTCTGATGGGCGTATGGAGGGAACGTTTTCCCTCCCTTGACTTGGAAGGGTCAGGTAACACCAGGAAATATGGATTCAAAACACAAACTGCCCTGTGAGCTGATAAATTGAGAACATGCTAGGATATTTGGAAGTGTGAAATGCTAGTTTTCTCTAAGTTCCCAATCCAGGAATGAACAGAAAGACAAGACACAATGCATGCGAGTACTTTTGTGCCTTATTTGGGGGCGGGGGGGGGGGACCCTTCATTTTTCTGTTTCAAAGTTTGTCCATAAATCAAACTATACTGCAAATTTCATCACAAAAGGAATATACAGGCTCTATATCAAGATAAATGACACCATTTCACTTGACGCTTGACCAGCAGGACTAGAAACAGGAAGTATTCTGGAAGTATCTGTTATTTCAGCGACATCACTAAATCTTTATCCAGTTAGATTTAATAGTATCATTGAAATGACTGATGTCTCTAGGTGTTTCACGTAGTTAAATCTTATCTAATTCTGGACTTTCCAAATAAAAATTTCTGTCAAACTCTGAAGTGGATTATGAGGACAAAAAATAAGGGACTTCACTGTTATTAACCAATTTAATTCACTTGCAATCAAAATAAAACTGTATTCCCGAAGGTTAAAGATGAACTAATTAATCAATTAGCTTAAAACATCATTAACATTTTATATTATTAAAATGTATTCTCCAGACAGCTATAGAAATAACATGTATACAGTCCATTCTGGAAGTGAAACTTACAGTGATAGGAAAAAAGGTTTTTTTGCTCATGTATACTACACTATTTTGTTTTAATTAACTTTAATCTGAATTAAAATTTTAGTCCCATAAGATTCTAAAGTAATTGAGGCATCAGAGAAAAAAATGACTGCATTAAAAGGCATATTCAACACCTATTATTTTTTCAAATGTGGGGCTGGCAGGGAACAGAGTAGCCCAGTCAGTCAATATACATTTAGTCCTGAATACTACTTGTTATCTCTTTAGTCTGAGTTTCTAATTAAAATGACCAAGCAGTTGCTCATGTTCTCTTCCACCCCCAATTCCTGCTCTTTGCAGCTGTCCTTCCAAATCAACAGAAAGAGCTAGAAGTCAGGCAATATAGGCATAGGCAGCTGAAGTTAGTCATGGTGACTCTTAAAGGTTTTGAGAAGGTGAATCTCCTGGCTTTAGGACCTTGTCTCTCCCTCCCTCCCTTCTGTCCTGCAGCTTGCTGTGGGTCACCCCACTAGGGATACCCTGGGGCTCCCACTCTATTACTACATAACTCTTCCAAAAATGACTTTGTCACTGTCTCCTCGATCCATACAACCCTACAGCCCTTTTCACTTTATGTCATCTGTTAAACATCAAAGTCTGTCTTCAAGGCTGTGCAAGTACACAGGAAGATTTTCTTTCATTTGATCAACAAATATTGACAAAACTGCCAGGCAATGTGTTAGTCAATAAGGGCAAAAGAGAAAAAGCTGAAGAGAACTCAATGTCTTTAAGGGTCTCGAAGTTGTGAGGGAAAAACAGAAAGAAAGTACAAGCCATCCAAGCTGTGTGTGGGGGTGGGGTGGGGTGGGGGGGCACGGGATGCGACAGGCACAGACGGATGGTGTGTGTTTCAGGTCAGAGGACTCAGCCTGTGTCAGTCCCAGAGGCAGGGTGCAGAGTGGGGGGAGAGGGAGCAGCTGGAGAGATGGCAAGGGCCAGGGCAGGGAGCGCCTGAGGGGACTTCTGTCTCTGGGAATTCAGACTTTGTGGTGATGCCAATGGAAAGCCACCAGAGGACTCTCAGTAGGTGAGGGAGAATGGATGGGGGGGGGGGGGGCAGTGTTGGAGGCAGTGGGTTGCCTTGCTCTCTTAGTTTTTCCCTGCAGCATTCACTAACTTTTCCCGCTCTATCTAATTACATTAGTGCTGTTCTCTTCTTATTAGAATGCGAGCTCCATGAGGGCCAAGCCCTTCAAGATGTCTTGTTCACTGACGCATTCTAAGCTAGAAAGTGCCAGGCATCCAGGTAACACTGATAAATATTTTATGACTTAATCAAATGAGTGAATGGTGTGGTGAGGATACAGCTTCCGAAGGGCCATTCCAGGGACAGTTTTGATGGTGATCTTGGAGTCAGGGTGAGCAGCTGGGAGGTTACTCAGAGAACTGAAGGGGGCAGGACTTGAGGCAGGTTAAGTGTTGGGAGGTGACAGCGCTGGCCAGATTGACACTGGCCTGCAGTCAGGGCAGCAAAGTGTGGTGGAGGGGCACTAGGGGTGTTCTGAGGTGGGGAGGATGAGGACCCTAGTGGGTCAAGACTTGCAGGCCTAGGGGACGGCTTACCTCGATAGAAGCTGCCAACTCTTCTTGGAACAGGATCATTGTACAGGTGTCTGTTTTCTTTGGGGGCGGTGCCATCATCCGAGTGGGGGTCATGATACGCTCCGCCCTGAGACAGGAAACATGTTTGTAAAAAGGAAACTGGCCTGATGACCATGTTGCCTTTGAACCTAATGCGCAGTTGGCTGCAGGTTCTTTGTCAGAGAAAACGCAGAATTATGGGATAAGGACAATTACTCACTATATAAGACAGTTCAAATTATTTCTGGGACATTGGGTGTGAATAAATTTTAAAAGACTCTATAGGGATGTTGAATGATTAGTCTTAACAGAAATTTTTTAGAGTAAAAGGTAACAAGTCCAGAGAATTCAGACCTCGGACTTCTGCCGTGTGTGGAATGAAGAGGTGCTTTCTCTGGAGGATTCTTTAACGGAAGATCGGGCCACAGTCATCTCTGGCGGGAGCTGTTCTCCAGGCTGAAAGTCAAATTTAAAAGGACTTATAAGAGTGTTCTGTTCCTAGGGATGAAAATCACCTAAATCACCACGGGCTTTATTTGCTCTAACTGGTAACCATAAGCAGCTAAAATATAAAATGCTACGGGGTAGGTGCTTCACGCACACGCCATGGGCTGTGTCCCAACGCCGGCTACTCATCTTACGTGACTGTAATGATTAAACTGAGTATTTTCTTATGTTACAAAAAAATAAAATAAAAGAGAATGTTAGCTGGCGAAGACATAAATTGTCCCGTAAAGAATGAATCATCTGATGAATGTGACACAAGTCAAACAAGTGTCACACAGATGGGAAGTGAAAGTCTCATTAAAGTAAGGTGAGCAGGGAATAAATGACTCTGAAAAGAGTTCAATTAATTATTAAAAACAAAGAAAATGATATTCCTAGTATCTAGATAGTCAGGGCGCTGAGCCGCACTCTAAATAGAGATTCTATTAGTTCATCCAAAATTTCTCTAAGATTTGAGGCGGACTGGTCCACAAAGAACAATGCAGATTCAAAATTATTTTTCATGAAAAACTTACATGACGGACTTAGATGAAAACAAATGCTCTTTGAATATGTCAGAGAATAGTGTAAGTCCTTCGAATAATTTGTCTTACAATTTCCTAATTACTATAGTTTATGTACTTAAGTTCTCAATATTCTCTAGGATACCAGCACTTATATTTCATTTCCTTTCTCAACCAGAATTGCAACAGGGCTCATCTCCGGAGATGGGTCATAAGCTAGGAGCAGCCTTAGTCCACTACGGTGTTCACTGAGAAGAAAAGAAGCATTTTCTACTTTCGGAAAAAAGGGCTAAGGAACCAAGTTACCAAGCCGTTAGGATGAGTTAGCTGCATTTCGTACCAGTATATTACACACACAAAGGGGATCATCTCCAGCCTTATGTGATGCCTCAAAAGCATTTTATTTAAAATGAAAATTACGATTCTTTTCCCCCTCACTTCCCAAATGTACTATAAAAGAATTTTGAGCAGGAAATCATCTAAAGTAGCCTTCTTTTTACTTTGTGACTACATGTCATTTGAATTTTATCACCTGTACTGTTTACAATGGCCTCCAGAAAATATTTTAGAAAAGATTTACATCTAACCTAAACTCTTAACTGGCAGTGCCAGTCCAGTCCCCTTGCTCTTGAAGGTGGCCATGACATTTGCAGGAGAGTGATTGCCACGGCTTACTCACAGCCGCAGTTACCTATCAAGCTGTCTGGTATCTTGGGCCTTGAAACATGTACTGTCTGGCGGCTTGGCACTGTACCTCCCCAACTGGACTGAACATTCAGTAACAGTCAGGTCTGTGCTTAGCCCACAGTAATGGACTATAATTAGCTCATTTCCACCATGTTCACATAGTCTTTTATTCTGGAACTCTGTGAGCCAGACCATTTGTCCTTTTCCCAAGCTACAATATTCTGCTTTTCTTCTCTATTCACACTATACTTAATGCTTTGGGCCTCCACCTAAAGTCTTTGGGGAGCCATCAGATTCCAGAGAGCTTTGTAGGCCCTGGAGGTACTCTGCTCTCTGTAGGGATTCCTCTGGGGCTCTGGCTTCAGTTATGGCCTATGTCAGTGCGTCTCTCGCCTGCCCTCCTCCCAGCTGGGCGCCAGGCTGTCTATCCAGCCCCACATCCAGGGCCACTTCACCCTCAACATGTCGGCATGATACAGTATAAAGAGCGCTGGCCAGCGGCCTGGACATGGCCTCATGACCCCAACTCCACCCTCAAGTAGCTGGTAAACATGGGCAACCCATCCACTTCATTGGCCCACAGCGTCCTCATCTGTGAAACGAGGGCGCATTAGCTCCCTGCCAAGTCCTCTCTTCCATTCTGAAAAGGAGCGCCTAAAAAAGAAACCTGGAAGGCTTCCTTGTTCCTGCAATCAGCCCTTAATTCACAAACCCCGTTGTTTCTACTGCTGAGGAATCTTGAAGACACTCCTCATTGTCCTGCAAGCACTGACTTAGTCCAGAACACTCTCCTCCCCTCATGCTCAGCTTACTGCAAAAGCCACTCAGAATCCTGCATTTGTCACTGCGGCAACATGGAATGAATCGAAATCTCCAAAGTTCATCATGCTCCTCAAGGTCTCTAACACCCTCCATGTCCTCACCATACCTTTCTGTCCTCCCTGCAAGTCTCTCTCCCGATGTCTCACCTATTTTGCTTCTCCTAGTTAAATCCCAGCCACCCCAGAAGACACTGCTCAGCCACGACTCCTCTGGGGGCCTGCCCCAGACCCCTGCCTGGACTATGCCACTCCCCTGTACCCCTCACTTCTAACAAGGGCAAGTGTGCCCACACACTCCAAGAGGATGGGGACTACATCTTTTTCATCTACCTCATTAAAGCCTATTATGGCGCCTCACTCAGTAAATGCCTGAACACAGTTTAATTCTTGAGTCATCCAAAAGGGCTCTTTGCATTTTAGCTCAGAGCAAGACCTCTGGTTGCCCCAAAGCCATTTCTGACTGTTCTGCTCACAATGAACTCTCCCTGTTCTCAACTCCTAATTATAGCCAGCTCCATAGTAATTTGGTTCTTAATTATTTCATTGTTATCATGTAAAATTTAACCTTCCCTGAGCAAAGAGAAGTTTCTCAAGGGGATGAACCCAGTCTGACTCTCAGGAGTGCCTGAGAATGCCCCACAGGCAGAAGGTGTTTAATGTCTGAAGAACAGCCTGCGCTGCAACAGAAGCAGCAGTAACTCAGACTGTTTGCCACTTACTCTGTGCCAGGCACCGGGCACAGTGTTGTCTCCACAGTGTTTAACCCTCGCATCCCTCAGATGGGGAACCTGAGGCACAGAGAAATTACGTCACTTTCCCACACTGACAAGGTATAAAGGATACGCGGCCCCAACTGGCGGCCCGGCTTGAGCTCTGGCTGCTTGGCACCGCTGACTGTCATGGGTGACATCTCCCCTTCTCTGGTGCGCATCTTGCTAAGCCCACTATTCCAGACCCCATCCATATATTCTGGAGTCCTGACACACGCTGATGAACCTATTTTTGTATCCTCTGAAATGGAAGAACTTTCCCTACATAAAACTCTTTTCTTCTTCTGACATAGAATTTCTCCACATTCATTTTTTTGATGCAGGTGAGAGTCTCATATCATAAAAATAAAATTAAAAAAACATGTGTTCTGTTGCAAAAACACTACTTCTTTTAAACAGGTTAGTGTCAGTTCTAGTGACTTGAAGATCAAAAAGACGGAGGAAGTTATTATACTAAAAATACTCCCCTGAGATTCAAAACCAATCCAAAAGACTGAAAATTGACATTTAACCTGGCCTATAGCTGAACTTACCTATAGTTCTGGATAGGTCTTAGACTTTTCAATCTAATCACGCTATTGAGTAAGCTGTTAGCAAAAAGGGTTTGACGAGACTAGAGGAAATCCCCATGAATTCATACTAAATTTTGAGAAAACTAAAAACTAACCCACATAGCTGCTGAATTCTGCAATAAGTCAAAATAGGATTCTTTCAACAAAATATGGCAGAAAGGAACGTGTAGGAAACATTTCTAAAAACCAGCTTTTTGAGCACTCAATAGTGGCTTAAGATAATTTAAGGAAATTTTGAGTAGAGATTAGTCCTTTATGTATTGCTTCCCTGAACGCATCCCGCCAAGGAAGCGCGGCCTCCTGAAGCAGGAGCATTTATAGACTGACCCGTCCACACCCCGCACCACCTCCAGACGTGAGCAACAGTCAACATCCCAATGTACCTGCGGTGACAGGAGCTGCAGGCTGTTGGCTCTGGCCGCCATCCCTTGCCCTACGCTCAAGCTTCCATCCAAGCCTTTGGCTCTCACTTTGTCCCGGGTCACGTACATGGAATGCCTGTGTGGGCGCTGCTGGGAGGAGAAGGGGCTGGTGTAGCCCAACCCATAAGAAAAGGATTCGTGAGGCGCCGACAGCGAGTGGGAGTGGCTGCTGTCCACATGCTCGGGCAGCTTCAACTCCTCCATCGTCTTCGAATGCCGGGTCGCAGTTCGGCGTGAGTCGAGGGTGCCCTCGCTTCGGTTATTTCTCCCCGAAGGGCTGAGCAAAGTTCTCGTGTCACTGTGCCTGGTAGGGGTTGGGCTGGTGGGAGAGTTCAAATCCAAGCAGCTGGACGGGAAGTACCTACTGGTATTGGACTCTGTGATTTGGGCCCTGGCTTCGGAAAGGTTGCTCACAGACTTAGAGTCACTCAATGCCCCATGGCTTTTGGCCTTTGTCCTGTAGGAGGGACTTCTAGAAGACTGGGGAATGGTGTCGATATAGCTATGCCGACTCTGCTTTTCACTGGGCTGCAGCGTCCCTGCTTTGCTCTGAGAGCTTTCCATAAATGAGTGCCGGTTCTGCTGAGATCTGCTGCTTGACTTGAGGTACTTTGTGCCCGGGCCTTCCGAAGGCTTTGGGTCAATATTAAAATCGAACTCTGTCTTTGACTTGGCTTCTTTTGGGCTGAGAAGGTGCGGTATGTTGTTGTTGGTAAGATCTTTGCTGGCAGACCCAGGCTGGCTGCCTGCCTGGTAGGACTTGCTGTGCATGGGACTAAGAGTAGCTCCAGCCAGATTTCCATTTAGGAAGCTTTCGTTGGCAGGAAGACCTTCATCAGCCCGGGGCAGACCCACACTCAGGTTCTGGATGTCCTTGCTGTTAGATCTGTGGTGAGACTGCAGAGCAGCGCTTTTGCTGGCTTGGTTTCTATGTTAAAAACAAAGAAGTCTATCAGTTTCCCTTAATAGCAGACACACCTAAGGTATCGTGTTAAAAAAGCACAAATAGCTAAAATACCTCAAAGGCTAAAAACATTATCTATCTCAAACAGCTAAACAAGTAATCTATCATTGAGTAATCTATCATATCTATGAGCAGCTAAACAAGTAATCTATCATTACGAAGGGAAGTTCCTTAGAACAAGCCACTTGGCAAGAAATCAACAAATCACTGGTCCTGATGAAGTTATTCTAGATTCCTTAACAGCTCAGCTGACTTGCTGCCAACATAGGTCCTAACTGATAATCTGGGGCAATCTGCTTCTGCTATGCTGGTGCTCACAAGAGCGCTTGAGATGGGACAGCTGCGACAGAGAGCGGAGCTATAGATGAATTACACTTCTTCTGTCTGCTGGAATGTCAGCAGGGAACATTTAGACTTGAAGGCTACTATGTTCCTTGAATTTTATTTTATTTGTGAAACTCACAGCCTTTCTCAGAAACGCATACAGCACAGACACAGACATCAGTGTCTCCTTCGCCTTTAACCTGTATAGTCAAAGAATAAGGAGTGCATCAGTGCACTCCATGGAAGAAAATGACACTTCCAGAAGACATGGGAAGCACCCCGTGAGGTCTGTTGGGAAGCGTGATAAGCATGCTTAGGATCTAGAGAAGCGGCGACATGGGCGCTCCTGAGACCTTCTCGAGCACCAGGGCCCTGAAGAGTTCATCCTCTCCAAAAGACACAACTTAATTCTCTTCTTCATTTCACACTTCATTATTCCAAACTAACTGAGGTCGTCTTGAGGCTTTAAAGCTTCACTTCCTACTTAGTTTAAAATACAGAAAGTCCAGAGGAAAATCTTGTCTCTATTTGAAAGCTAAAACTGACCTCACAGTGAGGTTTACTCTATAGTAACTACTTAAAGGACCAAATTGCAGTTTGAGATACATTAGAATGCTTTTAAATGGAAAATAACTTCCATCTTCCCTGCTTACTACTGTGCATGCAGAAAATGCAAATTTTCTCTTGTTTAAGGTGGTTGATTTGGGAGTTTCTTGCCCATCACATACTTGGAGGGAAAGGCTCATTTCTTTTTGTAGGATGGTACTCTGTGAGCACCCCCCCCTCCCATTTTTGCTATGAGACTACACGCTCAGGCATCAAATGTAAAGGCACCCTCCTTCTGCGCCTACCTTTCAGAGTATTTAAAGGATATGAGGTCACACAAGCCTGTAATGGGGCAGAAGACCTCATCTCCTCAATGCTCCCACTAGCCTCTCCCAGTTGGGTCACAAGGATTGCAGCATTAAATAAGGTCACTTAAATATGAGCTAAGTAACTAGAAAGAAGTTACAAGAAAAATTTCGTTTCCTGTTAAAACATGCCAACAAGAGTTTATCCCAGGTCAATAAAGGACAATCCTAAATCCTAGTTAATATATAATTCGGTAAATGAAAGTCTTAGAGACTTTAGGGGCCTCCCTGGTGGCACAGGGGTTAAAGTCTCAGCACTATCAAGCTATTGCCAACCATGTGGCATGAGTTCAATCCCTGGCCAGGGAGTTAACCCACATGGTGCAGCAGACCTCTCCTGTCTCCCTGCTGCTCCCCTCAGAAGTATTTGAGTCAGTGTGCTTGTTCTGCTCCCCACTCTGTCTCTTGTGAAGTCTTCTTACCCACCCCTTCCACACTTCTGGCCTACACCCCAGTTCTTGTATACGTAAATAAAAACAAATCTTAAAAAAAAAGTCTCACTAACTTTCAAAAACCCAAATGATGACAGGCAGTCTCATTTCATTCTCTTTCTCCCCCTCCTGGGCCTCAGGAGCCAGAGGCTGCAGACTGCAATACCCAGGCCCCCTAGCTGTCTAACTGGCCTAACTCCCAGTGGCTTTGGCAGCGCACAGGGCTGGGAAATGTTTCCCTGTTCCTTTCCCAGCATCAGAATCTGACTCTCCATAGCGGTGTCCCTCCAGGTTACAGCTCTCCAGGGTAGCACCTCCTGCCTGTCTCCCCTGGGTGCACATAACCCCTTTCCCCCTTACTCCTCAGACCTAGAGAGAGTAACAGCAGAGATAACACCGGCAGACACTGGCAAATGTGCAAAACTCCAAAGAGGACCAGAAAAGTGAAGACAGTTGCTAGAGCCCTCGAGACTCTTGGAAACACTGCTCTCACCCGGGAACGCAGCCTGCACGTGGGCAGGAGCGCACTTGCCGCTCAGCAAGGTGCGATTTCTCACGCGGAGCATGTGCCCGAGTGTCAGGTTCCCCATAAATGTACAAAGAGTCCATTGTACTTAGACTATTCTGAAAGTTTCCATCTCAGTATTACGCTGAAGTCACTGAGCTCTGCACATAATTCTGACATAGAAAGGGCATCACAGTATCTTAAAATCGGAGCTCTACCGAAGCGCAACAATAAAAAGTGCTTTAAACATTCCACAGATCCCTTTGACACACAACAATAAGAAGTCTGTGTTAAATGCAAACCACTTAAGAGGATTTGATATATAAACCCTTCTTAAAGGACTGCAGTACAGACAGAGGGTTAATCTCTTTAGTAAAATAACTTTTCAAAGCAAACCTCAAAGTGCAAAAATATATAATTATGGGAAGGGTTGGTGAAGCATGATTGACAAGGGGGCAGTGCAGGGCAGGCCAAAGGATCATCCTGGCCCACACAAGTGAGTAGAAGAAGCCCTAGGCAGAAGAAGAGGAGTCAGAAGCAGCCCCAGGCAGGGAGAGTATGCAAGAATCCACTGCCTGTCCTACAGAGACAGGATGTGGATACCAGAGACGGGTATGTTGAGTGTGCACGTGTGGGTCTCAGGACGAGGCAGGGAGTGAACAAGTGGCAGTGAACAAGTGAGTTATGGTGCTGGGAACATTTCTGCAATGGCACTGGGAAGTTCCAAGGGAGCCACAGTCTGTAAAATTAGTATTCCCACAAGAAGGGCCTCCATGGAGGAAGTAAGGACCACAGACAAGTGTGGACAGGAAAACATTTCCAGACACATGCAAGCTGAACTGAGATCATTCCTAGACAAATCATGTAGGACTGTTTCTATAATATATTCACAACCCTATCAAGACCTGCGCCATATGTGGGTTAGCTCCATGGTTGGGGACTGATCTCATGCTGCAGTGGCTGCGGATAGCTTGATAGTGCTGACTTTAACCCCTGCGCCACCTGGGAAGCCCCAGGAAATCGGTTTTTTAAAATGTGATGCTGAAAACTATATTCTAAAAGCACTAGCTATCAAGCTGCTATTACTATTTCTTTGTTCTTAGGAGAAAACAATTTCTCAACTCGGAGATTAAAAGACAATGAGCAACAAAAACACAAGAGCATTCTACAGAGCCAGATCTATTTGGTTCAGCAGCAAAGATTGTCTAGGTGTGTTCCCACCCACCTGGATATGGCATCCTCTTCTCCCCTTGTTCTCACCCACCCTTCTTCCTTTAGACATCACCCCGGGGCCTTTCACATCGAATTTACTAGTTCATGAGGCTAGAAACCCCTTAGCAGCTAACCCATGTTACCTTTCCCAAGGAATGCATAGGATTCCATAATATACTTGTTAAAGTCTTTAAGACCCACACAACTCTTTAATTGTGGTTCTGAATCATGTAATAAGCATAAGGAAGATATTTTTGAATATAGAGGGCTTTCCTTCTTTTCTCTAATTGCATCATTTAAACAGCCACCTCCTCCACCTACTTGTAAGACCAACACTGCATCTGTATTTCCTTAAAAGGGAATATTTACCTATTAGATAATGTGCTGCTTTCCACGTGATAAGGTTTTCTTTTTGCTGACCTTGAAGGGGAGCGATCCAAAAGTCTCTGGGTTTGAAATGTAGGGTGATTCAAACATTGTTCTGTCAAGTATCTGTCAGCTGGGTCCAACTTCAATAAATTCTTAGGAAATAAAGATTGGAAAGAATATTACAATCACAAATATAAATTTTAATAAAAATCTTACTTTTCTTTATAAAGAAATGCACAAGTGCTACAGAATATGTCGTAAACACAGTATAGTACAAAACCATCTTTTTAAAAGGGCCATTGAAATCCCCCATAATCTCACCACTGTGAAATTATGACCTTCCAGACCTTTTTTGAATTATCACATTATAATATCTGGCTCATATTATCCACATAAGTTTTATATGCTGTACTTTTCAGTTGCTAATCAAAAACATTTTTTACCATATAATTTAAACACTTAAAATATGTTTTTGAATAAACGTGTATTAACGTGAAAGAATAGACATTCTTCATCATTCTTCTGACCCATCTCTGAGGCAGACCACCAGCAGTTTCCTATGCATCCTTCCATAAATGCTCTGTAATCCTCTGCCTCTTTTATATCCAAATAGTAGCATACACACAACTGTCTGAACTTAGCTTTCTTTCCACTGGAACTTCAACTGGGCCTCCCTAGTGGCTCAAGGGGTTAAGTCTCAGCACTATGAGGCTATCAACTGCATGCAGCATGAGTTCGATCCCCAGCCAGCGAGCTGACCCACCATGGCTCAGCAGACCTCTCCTGTCTCCCTGCTGTTCCCCTCAGCAGTGTATTTCTGCCAGTCTGTCTGCTCTGCTCCCCACTCCTTCTCTGGCGAATCCTTTACCCCCCCCACTCCCCTCCACCTGCACCTCTGGCCTACACCCCAGCTCTTGGATGCATAAACTAAATCTTAAAAATAAAAAACTTCAACTCAATGGATGTTATTTAGGTTGTTTTAGCAAGATAAACATGAAGGTTGTTCCCTTCTTTTATTATGAGCAGTGCTACAACAGATAACTTTGTTTTTTTACTGACTATACAGAAGTCTATAGTGTGGATATATATACCATGATTTATTTCACTAGTCTCCTGCTGGATATTTAGATGACTGCCACTTTTCACTATCATATACAATTAATGCTGGGATGAGTGCCTAAAATGCGTGTACACATGTGATCCCTTTCAGCAGATAAACTAGAGATAGAACTAGTGGCCATGCCAACTTTAAAGGATTATTTTCCCCTAAGATAATAATTATTTCCCCCTAGGAAGGTTGTCTCAAATGACACTCCTCTCAGTGACTGTAGGAGACTACCAGCTCCTGGGCTCTCTCATCAACAGGCATTATCATTCTTTTGAGTACTAGTAAATTAGATATTGAAAAAAATGGTCTGTCAGAGCTATTTCAGTTCCCAATTTTGATTAGTAGTGAGGTTGAACGTTTTTATATGATTATGGGTTACTTATATATTTTCTTTTTCTATTTGTGTATCTGTCCTCATGTTTCTGTAAGTTTTCTTTAGTCATTAAGGTACTAACCTTTTTATGCTATACATACTAGTTTTTTACAACTAAAATGTTTTCATCTAATATTATTTACGTTATTAGTAATTGGACAAGATTTAAAAAAATGAATCATTATTAGAATTTCTTTTTATTGACAAATTTAGCAAATATATATAGAAATATAACCTATATAACCTAATACCACTCAATAGAGCACACTGAAACTTGCTCTCTGAGTGACATTCTCCGATAAAGGAAGAGGGTAGAATTCCAAAATTCCAGCATTCCCAAATCTATCTCTAGCTCACTTGCACTGGTTTTGCCCACAGTTAATCTCTTTGTGATCCACTGTTGAGACTTCAGTTTCAGACAACTGCCTTCAACCTAGCACTAGAGAAAATTTAAATTCTGATCTTATCATATGCTGAAACATTCACCCTAGGTCAAAAGATCCACTAACCCAAGCTACTTTATACGCATGCAAGTGGATTTACATTCATGTTGACTCAGACACAACTCTAAAATTATCTCCATTCTTTCTTCTTCCTTATTACAAAATAAAACCTGGAGATGTGTGAAATGATTTTGGCCTCACTGGTAATTAAAACAGTAGACAGCAAAATGGTTTCAACTCTATAATAACTAGTTAGAAACTAAGGGGAGTCAGCTCCTGAGAAGTTTGTTTTTTTTTTTTAAAGATTTATTTTATTTATGCATACAAGAGCTGGGGTGTAGGCCAGAGGTGGGGGGGAGGGGTGAGAGAATTCACCAGAGACAGAGTAGGGAGCAGAACAGACAGACTGGCAGAAATACACTGCTGAGGGGAGCAGCAGGGAGACAGGAGAGGTCTGCTGCCCCATGTGGGTTAGCTCCCTGGCTGGGGATCAAACTCATGCTGCACTGGCTGCCAATAGCTTCATAGTGCTGAGACTTAACCCTTTGTTGCACCAGGGAGGCCCCTCCTGAGAAGTTTTTTAAATTAGAAGCCAAGTATCATTCAGAAGCCAAGTATCTACTAGCATTAAAGAGCTATTTTAAGAATATCAACAGTAGAAATTGATGCGCACACACACAGAGAACTATTTTATATTTATAAATATAGCTGTTAATTTTCAAATTACTTGAAATGATGAAGTCATTATGCGGAAAAGATGAAACTTACCCAGTACATAGTTTCAAAATTCAGTACTTTAGGAGAAAACAACAATTTTTAACTGAAATTATAGCTATTCTGCAAATTATTAGGGGCTTGAATTAATTCTGGTGGCTTGTATCCCCACTAAAGTGGTTGATATTTATAAACAGGTGCAGGATAATATGGCCATATTATGTATTTATATATGGACAAAATGATCAAGTCTGCTTTAGGGAAAGGTATAGAGAATATGTTTCTTCATGAAAGGGTAAGATGGTGTGAATTTTTAAATTAATTTTCAAAAATAGCTAAAAGATAAAAAATAATTCTTTATAACTCTCAATGATAACAAGGCAACACTGATCTTTGGTGACAGAAGTCAGAACTGTGGTTGCCAGGAATACTAAGAGAAGGGGTGAAAATCTGGGAGGAGTCATGAGGGCCTTCTGGGGTGTTAATGACTTTCTCTAGCCTCAATCCAGGTGGGGTTACAAAGATATGCTTACATTACGAAAATTAACTGAGATGTACATTTATAAATGATGCACCTTTTGAGCCTACTTTTTGATAAAAATGTCCATTTAATGTTAAATAATTTTGAGGGTAAATACATTAAAAGAATAGGAACTGGACCGTTTTAACCTCCAAACTGGTAAAAATGCAAAAGACTCGGGTTATCTTTATACTTCTTTCTGTGCCGACTTTTACCAGGTATCACCCTGATGCTTGGCAATTACACTGGGTAATGATTTAACAAAAACGTTCAATTATTTTTAATTAAAAAAAGACAAAAGGCAGAAAACATGGAATTGCATTTAATTCAGTTCTTCCACTTTGCCCTATTTACATTTTAAAAGTTACCAAATAATTAAGAACCTGATAAATAAATATTGATTGAGTGAAAGAACATATTGACAAAACCTAACTGATTTAAGAGATAATTTATGTCTAATCAACCCAAAAGAGCCTTGAGGACTTTTGTTAATAGCATCTCTCAATTTGTGTTCAGAAGAACATTAGTGCTGTTGAGCTTTATTAAAAATAAAAAAGTATTCAGCAATAAAGTTTGGGAAATGTTGGGTGAGACAGAAATGCTCCTTTACTGTGGGATTTCTGCAAACCTTTATAGGTTAATGAATGTTGTGAATGTCTAAAGAAAGGGTTTATGCTTTGTGGCCTTTCCCAAAGGCCACACCTCCCTCCCCCACCTCCACCCCCACACCTATTTACACAGCGCTCCTTGGATCACAGATTAACATAGTTTAAAGCAAAGCAAAGTTCTGGGAGTGCTACTCAGCAATTTCCAACTGTGCTAAGTATGCCTTTAAAGCTCAGTGCACAGTGGAACCTCCTCTGATTTTGATGGTTGACTGAATGGGCATAAAATAAAATTGATCCATTAACAAGTGTTTTTTGAAGTTCTACTATCAAACAACCAGTGCTTGCTTACTACTGGCTGGCCACAATGAAAGCTGGAGAAATATGAAAAAATAGTTGTCACTCAAGAGGCTGGCTGGCTGGCTATTGGGTAAGAAAAGCTTGAAAAAAAACTTTGAGAACATTTTCAGTAGCTCCGAGCACGAAGGCTTGGACAGGGCACCAGCCTGCAGTGGAAGACTCAGCCATGGAGCAGAGCAAGGCCCTGCTCCCTGCAGAAGGGGATGGAAAGAACCTAGTCCATGTGGCAGAGAAGAGGCCGAGTTAGAAAGAGAACAGAATTCGGGCCACTGATGTAATTAATCACCTTATGGGGGGACTTACACATCACGAATCTGTTTTCTTTCAACACTGACTTAAAGATTTGTTTGAAAACCTTATGCCTGAACTTTTCTTGAGTGCTGAATAAATTATATTTCGATTGTTGTTTTTCTGTCCATTTTAGGAAAGCAATTTCTGTATTTCATGGTCTTGTCTAGATGGAATGTCACACTAGCAGATCTGGCTGCAATTTCAAATAAATTCCATGCCTTTTAACAGACATAGTACCCTATTATTCACCACCATACATCAAAGCATTTAATTTGTAAAAATTAAAAGCAGGCAATGGTCACATGTAGATTTACAAGAGAACCCACAAACAAAAAGACATTTTATACAAATAACATCAACTTGTCCCACCTTCATCAGATCAAGTAAAACGCTATTTAAAATGCCAAGGTATCTTCTCTCCAATGACTGAGGATGGTTGACAGCTGGAAACTGCAAGAACAACATGACAAGAGTGTTAGCATGTGGGGAAGGGTGTGCATATGTCCTGAGTGATGAAGAAGGTAGCAGACAACTTAGATTATTGCCTTAGTGCCAATCACAATCAAATTTACCTCATATGTATATTATTTTTAGTGTGTATGTATTTGAGGTATGAAGTAACCTCAAATTGGGTGTTAAGTAACAGGAAAACTCAGAGGTGAGGATACGGAAATCTAGACAATACTGAAGCTTGCAAACAAACCAAAATATATAAATCTGAAACTGTTCATACAATTTATACAATATTTCCCTTATGTAGATGATTCCCTTATAATGTAATTTATACAGACTTTGTGTGCTTATACAGGCCATTACTGACAGTAACTGGGGCACTAGCAAAAGGGATATAAAGACTGATAAGAGTTCTTATGGCTTTTCCATGACAATGCATCATTTATTCCTGTAAACTTGAGAAGTAAAAACAAAGAAGAAAAGGCAGTGAGAAGCAAGTACCAGAAAGGCACAGAAGTATAAGCAGTGATCTCAGATACATGTTCTATTATTGCTTAACATACTCTTACAAAGGCCTGCTTTTCATTCCTTCCTTTACGTAAATTGGGGTAGAAGGCAAACATAGGTTCTAGGATTAACCAGTGAATTTTTTTCAAAAATAAAATGAGGAGAAAGGGGTCAAGTTTATTTGGATGCCCTGTCTTCTCTGCCAACTCACATATCACAATCAGTGGATGGTAAAGTATTAGGGCTCAATGTTACATACTCCCTCCCAACGGGAGGGCTACTTTTTTTTTTTTTTAAAGATTTATTTATTGATACAAGCACTGGGTACAGTCAGAAGCGCGGGAGGGTGAGAGAATTCACCAGAGCCAGAGCAGGGAGCAGAGCAGGCAAAAGGACCGAAGTACACTGCTGAGGGGAGCAGCGGGCGGCAGGAGAGGTCTGCGCGCCATGTGGGACCCTCCTCTGGTGGCCGGGGAGCAGCCGGGGATCGAACCGGCGCTGCAGAGGCTGCGGGCAGCTTCGCAACCCAGCACTCAACCGCTGTGCCACAGGGGAGGCCCTACTTTACTTTATATATATATATATATATATATATATATATATATTCCCTTTATACCAACATCAGAGCATTTCAAAGTACTGACATTCCTAAGCAGGAGAAATAAACGGATTAGTTCTATAGGAAAATTCAAACAAGGTATTGAAGGAGCGATTATGACATCATCCCCACCCTGGGCTAAGTACAGCAGGAGGTGCAGAATGTGGACGAGACCAAAACCTTGTACTTTCGCAGTCTGGCTGGGAAAACAATCAGTGCAAAACTTGTGCAGCTGAAATTCTACCTGAAGCTTAGAGAAAGAAGAGACCCAGGTGGTTTACAGCTGTAGAAGCAAGAGTCCATGGTAATATTTGAACTGAATTTTGAAAGAAAAATGTGAGGACAGAGAAAAGTAGGACAGCACCTTCTAGATAGAGGCAGGTGAAGGGATAACACGAACTGATCACAGACAGGCAAGAGCCTAAAACTGATTTCTGAGGGAAGTGATGCTATGCAAGGCATTTTAGCAATTCTTTTATAGTGAAGAAGGTGACAATCTAAAAGTTCAAATAAGTGGTTCAAGGCAAGTTACATAATTAAAAAGTAGAACTAGTATTTGCACCCAGGTCTGTGATGCAAACCCACACTCTTTCTAAACCGAGGCACTGCTCCAAAAGGAGGTAGAGAGGTTCCTTTGGATGTTGCTGAGCATGAAATATCAGCCCAAAGAGACACCTGTCATCCTGTGATAAAACACTCTCTACCAGCACATTTTAATTAAGTTTGCCTCTGAGGTCTATCTAATGCTACCAGGTACCGCTCCTGTATTTTTCAGAAGTAACGTTTCATTGACAAGAAGTTTAATTCTGAAAATCAAAAGGCATTAGAAATATTGCAATAAAAAATGACCATGTAAACTCCTAACTCAAACAAAAAATTAATCTATGTGCTTTTGAATGAAATCGATCATTCTAACATGAGGCAATTCAATACCCAAAGCTCCAGCAGAGAAGGTGAAAGGCTATTCCAATCTGCGCGCAGTCTGCCTCCTTTCTCTCTCTCCTCTCCTCCGCCCTCCCCTGCTCTCTCTTTCTGATGCCGACATTCTCCAGGAAAATGATAAAGGAAGACATACCCCTCACAAGATGTTAAACCTCCAAAAAGATTAAAATAATTTAGTTAGATCCCCACAAACACTTTCCAACTAAAGTGAAAAAACATTAAGGTTTATAAAAATCAAAGTGTCAAGAAAGCAGCAATTTCTCTGAAGGATATTCATAAGCAGCATCGTCACGTGCTGCCTTGCAGTTTATGGATAACGCTATTTAGTGAGGGGCCTGTGAACAAACAGGATCGCAGAGAAATGAGGAAAAGATATCTTCTTTTGGCTGATCTAATCCAAATGCTATTCATTCTTCAATATCCATTTCAGATTTCAAATGCGCCATACATCATTCTCTGGTGAATCTAGTCAACTATCATTTCTAACTTTCCAGAATATTTAACACTCTCATCGTCTCAACCATATTAAGATGTGTTAGAAAACAGTACAATGTAGTAAACAATGTGGTACTTTATTATATGCCACATTACATACCAAATTGTAATATTTTACTATGTCATGTTCTTTCCTAATCAACTTGTGCACGAAAGTCTTAATTCTTCAGCTAGTTTTTAAGTTCTTAAGGCCAGGTGCCAAGGCAGATCTGTTTATGTAGAATCTAGTATTGAGTCTCTTTAACTAGGCAAAGAACAAGGCATGTTCCAAGCTCCATGTTCCAGGTCAAATATGCAATCGTTCAATACTATTCAACCCAGTAGGCGAGGTGTGCTATTCTAGGTGTGCTGCAATTAGAATGATGAACACGAGACTTCATTTCTCCAAGGAAGTCACTAGCCCAGTGGTGACACTGATTTGTACACTGCTACTTAAGAAACTGCAATAACAACTACAAGAGAGATCTAACCAGAGGGCTGGAGGAGCACAGAAGGTGGGGGGTCACCCATTCCCCTGGAGGAGTCTAGAAGGGCTTCAAGGAGGGAGGACATTTAACCAGGGTCAGCGGGAGGGAGGACGAAGAGCATTCCAGAAGTGGGAGGATTACAGAAATGTAAATGCAGCACTGCAGAAGCAACAAGTCAAGGAAATGGTGAGAAGTTCAATGTGACTGAAGGGGGCAGAGGCACATGGTGGTAAAGGGTGGGAGACAAGGGTGGAGGACCAGGAGCAAGGAAGTCCCAATGCTGCCCCAAGGAGCTTCAACTTCATGGGTGATCTTGTAGAGGCTTTTAAACAGAAAGGAGATAGAATCAAATATGGGGTTTGTGGGAAAACCATTCTAAAGGCAATATGAACAGTGAAGTGAAGAAAGTATGAGAGATCAGCTTGGGAGGGGTGTAACAAACCCTAAAAATCTGACTGTAGAATGGGGGCAAGAGGCGAAGGGTAGCCCAAGGGACTATGGTGGAGAACTATGGGTGCCTTGACGGTGGGTGTGGTGTGGTAACATACATGAAAAGGGTGTGATCCTGCACCTCTAAATCATAGAATGTTGTAAACCAATTGTAACATCAATTAAAAAAAAAAAAAACCAACTCAGGCAAAAGGTGGTAAGAATGAAAGAAGCATTGGAGACAGGAAGAAGGAAATACAGTTGAGCTCGAGTGCTGATGACACTGATTCAAATGATTGTTAAAATATTCACTGAACCCCTACGAGAAATGCTGGACTCTGGTCAAGTCTCCAAACACAATGATAAAACACACAGCGTCTGCCCTCGGGGAGCATATATAATTACATACTACGAGGGGGAAAAGAGTGCTGTGGGAGAGACTAGGTGGAGTGGGGGGCAGCATGTTAGGAGGTTGGAGAGATGGGCATTCTTTGAGCTGAGATTTGGAAGGGGCCACTGAAGAGAAGCAACTTCCTGGGAGAAGGAGGCACAAGTTCCAAATCCATGAAGCCGGACAAACCTTGGAATGTTTATGGAAGCCGAAGAAAAAGAAAGGCAAGTGTGGTGAGAGCCTGGAGAATGCCTAGCTAGAACAGCACCTTTAAATCTGAGACGCGCAAGTCAGGATTCATGACCACCCCACGGCAGGGAGGGCAACGGAGAGAGCCATGAGCTAAGGTCAGGGAGCTGGAAGGTGGCATCGGGCCCAGTCTCAGGGGTTATGTAAGGAGCTTTGATGCCTTCTGAGTAAACAGGAATTCATTATCACCAATTACTTCTGATTAGAGCAATTTTTTCCTTTCTGCCAGACTAAGGCAAGTCCTATTTATTGCTGTATTTTCAGCATCTAACATAACAAATGTTCAATCACTGTTGAGCTTGTTGTAGCCTAATAAATGGTCATAATTGGGCTAATTTTTGGCTTACAAAAACAACAATGAAAAGGCAAAGTTGCCTCAGGTAGCTCAGATGGAGTTAGAGGATGGAGAGAAAGCAGGAAGGAGATGAAAGAGCAACTGCATGCAACTCTGGTCATGCATTTCTTCTACACAGAGCGGGTCCAGCAGGAGTGGGTAATGTGTGAGGAGGGGTGCTCTTTAAAGTGAAATGAACTGAGGTTCAGAAAGCCAAAGGAAAAAAATCAAGTGCTTTGAAAATGTCAAGCAAACATGGCTTGAGAATTATGCATTTAAGAGAAAGAAAGGAAGTGGTGGAGACCTTATTTTATAGATCCCACAACAGCCACCAACTGTCATGTTGGCCCAAAAAAGGATAGTTGGAAACTAGAAACGTAGTTTTTGGGGTGCTACAGAGGAGCAGTACCCACTCTTGCTGGTGCCTCTGAGAATTGGTTGTCCCTCACTTGGGGAAAGTTTGTGCTTTAAGAACCATTTTAACAGTCTCAGAAAATGCGTTTTGTACAAAGTTAGCAAGACTAGGAAAGGCTGGGCAGGACAATCCACAACTCTACTAGGAAAGAAGATGTGATGGTTTACTGTCAACAGGTAAGCAACAGCTGCCATAGCTGTTGAAATCTGCAGAATGCAAGTATTCAGTCTTCTTCAAATCACGACAATTCTATCTGCACCAATAAGAACAGCCATTTATACATTTTTGTGTATTTTGGGAATAATTATTTTGGATAAAGAAACATTCTGATATAACTAAGGTTCAGCGTATAATAAAGCATACACCAGAAAAAAATATGAAAAATTGGAGCTCAGAAATCAGGGAAAATACCAACAGCTCCCACTTCCAAATTCGGCCATTTAAAAAATTCACATACACTATACAGGATTCAAAAATAAAACGGGGGTTATAAACATCGCAATGGAAAAGGGGATGGTATTCAATGGCTAGCTTAGCATTCTACTGTGCAATGAGCAATGATTTCAACACTGTCCTACTGATTCCACTTTGGGTTTTAACAAAGCCTCTTACCCGGAGTCCATGGAATCGAGGATTACTGTAGAATAGCTTCATCTGCTCAGATGGAAGAGGTCCTAGCACCTTCTGAATAGTAAACAGTTGATCAATTTCACTTTCTCCAGGAAATAAAGGCTGTCCATCGCTAAGCTCCCCGAGAATACAGCCCACCGACCACATATCCACAGACTTTCCATAGGGAGCTCTGAAAAGCAAAGGGAGAGATTATCTTGACAACTAAAGAAATACATTTTAATAGTTTCCAAATTATTTTGAACAGATCTGTGATTTAAAGTACATTTGAGTACCTGAAGAATTAAAAGTGTTTTGTGTATAAAAGCCAGACTAAAAAAAAAATTCATAGATATCCAAGGAAAAATTCAGAACACAAGTGAATCAACCTATGCTAATAAAGCTATCTGTTTAATAACAGTTTTGTTAGTATACACTAAGTTGAAATGTATTCACATCCAGGTATATTTTGAACATGAATGGCTTAATAAGCCCTAACCTAGCACACGTCTGATGAGTGATAAGTTAACATCTAACTAAGGGAATGAAATGTTCCCAAGAAACATGTCTTCTTGGTAATTATCCTCTAGCTCTGTAAATGTCAAAAAATTACATCTTATCCATTATTTGAGTTCAGTCAACTAAACTGTACTATTGATTTAAGTGTCATCTGAAACAACAAACTGAATATTTAGCTTTTGATTGCATAGTTACAATTTCTAATAGCTAAAATTGTGCTAAAATCTGTTGCATTATTTACTTGAATCTATTTGTACCCTAGATGGATAAGCCTTTATGATAGCTATTTCCTTCAAAGCATTTTCTCTGTTTCCTTGGGAGTTTATATCTCTCTTCTAGAATCTGAATTTACCAGAGTGTTTTAGGAGTTACCATTATTAATAAACAAGACTACAGATTAAAATCTAGGTATTCCCAAAACAGCTATAATGTATACCCCAGCATATATAGCCTTAAGTCAAATTATATGTGGCAGATTAAGAAACCATACTTTCTTTAGTTTCAAATATAAATAATCCAAGTTTTAAGAAGGGAAAGTCAAGATAAAATATCTGAAAAAAATATGGGATACAATTCTTGAAAGCTATAATGACATGGTAGTTATACAAAACTTTTAACAAATACCCAAACTGTTAGCGCTATAATGTTTCTAGGATAATAAATCAATGCAACAATAGGCCAATATTTTATTTATCTTACTTCCTTTCCACAAAAACCTTAAAGCCATATTACAAAATTCATGTAGATTTTTTGGGTAGCTTGTTGGGGAAGGGAGGATACTGATCTTTCTTTAATACCTAAATGAGGGAGGGAAAAACTTGGGCTAGATGGAGAAACCTATGGAAAATCTCCACATACCCACTATATATTTTTAATTCTACCAACTGATTTGAATAATGCATGTAGCTGAATCTATTTTGAAAGTCAAGGACAAAGTCTTGACAATGTACAGAAATATAAATTCTTAACCAAATATCAACTGATTCAATAGGATTTTTATCAACAAATAATATGGTTCTTCAACTGGTGCTTGGCATTTAATTAGCAATATTCAATATGGCACAAATTAGTTGGAATCCCCCATCTACTTTTGGTAGCTCCCACGCATCTCTAAACATAACCTCAGTTTTCTGACAGGTATTATTAGGCAGCAAATGCACTTTGAAGTTTCACAGTAAGGTTGTGATTAGAATGAACTCATTAGGGCCAACTTACACACAAGACTATTATAACAAGTCCTTCTACCATACCTGAACCCTCTAATAGGGTCCTCAGAATTATCTATTTCATAGTCATTTCTTCCTTGGCTAATACAGTTCAGCAAATTCAAATTCCAATCCCTCCCAAAAGAAAATGTATTATTCAACATGCCAGCGAGTCCAGGTAAAAGTACACAGAAGAACAAAATCAATCCCGAATCCAAGCTTAAATTCTAAAATCTATTTGTACAAAGAAAAATAAAGAGACCCACCAGCATTTGTTTCCCATGATAAAGCAAAGTTTTAATTTCAAAAAAAATAACGAAACCTTTCAGTAACTGAAACTAAAAATTCCTACAGGCTCTAGGTCAGCAGTGAATCAAGAATTACCACCATGGGGCTGGTAGATACCAGGAAATCAATTGTTCATATCAAAATAAACCCTCAGTAACTTAAATATACAGTCATTATGATCTTTAGAATAAATAAATAAATTTACATATAAATTATTATTTATATATTTTATATAAAAGCCTCTTTTAAAAATTAAATTTCTCAGATACATGTAAAGCACACTAAAGAGATGAAACCTACAGTTCACACACTGGTCATCATCAGTACCATAGCTAACTGTATTTGTAGAGTGTGCCTTCCTTCTCCATTCTTGGATGGTCCCAAAGAAGGCAATACAATCTACAGAAAATAAGAAAATACTATAGCTAGGGTAAGTAGGGAATTATTAATTAAACTATGTGGTGGAGATCAAGATGACAAAACTCCTTCTTAGGCACTGAAGTTAAAACATATTAAAAAGGAAAAAATAACCTTATCAGAAGACCCTTTTATGTATTTGTTGAATGAATGAATAAACTAAGAGATAAGCCAGAATGTCAAACTCTGTGGACATCCACCTTCTTAATGAGGAAGGTTATCAGCAAAGATGGTGGCAATCATCCCACCCCATCCCCCATTCTGCCAACTCCTCCCTTCAAGAGGTAGAATTTATTTCTCTATCCCTTGAGTCAGGGTTTGACCATGAAATATGCTTTGTCAATGAGGCGGAAGTCATGCAAATGGAAGTTTGAAAACTCCTTTGCTTGGGGGCCTGCCCTTCTTGTTGCAGGGAATTTTGTGAACCAAACAATGTAAAAAAATGAACAATGATGTAAAAAATATATAAATAAATTATTTTTTAAAAGTGAACCAGCCTACCCAGATGACAAGGTCTCATGGGAGAGAGGTGATTGGTCTGTCCCAGTTGAGTCCCCTAAATCAACCAGGCTCCAGATGACCTCTTTATTAACAGTAGCTACATGAGCAACTCCAATTGAGATAAGCAGAAGAACCACCAGCTGAACCCAAGTCATTGTCTTTCCCAAATTGATGGTACCCAGAATTGTAAGCCAATAAAAATGGTGCTTGTGTTATGCCATTGAGGTTTAGGGTAGCTTGTTACACTGCAATTAAACTGACATTCAAGGACATGGCGTCAGCAGATATCATTCTTTCTATTTTAGAAGGTAACTCACCCAAGTAAGAGTTCAGGGGACCGATACCACCTGGTGGCCACGTATTCTGTATAATTAGCATTATTGCCTTCTGATAGATTCCGAGCAAAACCTGAAAGACAGCAGAGCCCAAAGGTTTGAAAAATAATTTCACCTTGAAAAATATTTTAGGGCCAGTAATATTTTAAAGCATCATCATTAAAAGAACATAGTAACTGCCATTAAATGGGCTGCTTATTAATAGTGTCTACAAAGTTAGTCCAGTGTTCATGTCAATTAAAGCCTTTAATGTACTCACTACAAAAGCAGTCTCTCCCCTATACTAAAGGAATCTGGTTTTGAAGCCTCATGTTTTTACAAGTATTCAGAGCATACTTGTGCCAGTTCAAGCTGTCTTGTCTTCTAAGAAATGCCAGACCAGGGATATGCTTTTCCTGCTACTGACACTCTACAGGCATCTCCTTTGTATATAGAAATGCTTTACAAATTTCATTAACTTTGGAACTTAAGCAAATCTCCAACCCATGGAGTCATGGATGTGTGGTAAAGGGAAAGTGAGGAGCAGAGTCTCAGTACTCGGTGGTAATCACAATTATGGATAAGAAGTCAGAAATAGATATTATTCCTGAAAATCATAATGCTCAGCAAATGCTAAAAACACCAAGATCAAAATCTTTTAAACACAGTGTGTAGTATTTTTTTCTCATTCACCTAAGCACTTACAATGTTTAGGATATAGCAAGCCTCTTCTTAATAAAGTTCCTCATCATAAAGCATGAAAAAAATTAAGCCCTGTAAAACATTTTCTTCAGGCACGCAGGTTCATGATAGTATTCAAATTCTTTGAAGATATTGAGTAAAAACAGCTACACATGCTTCCAATTGCCACACTGGACAAAATTGGCCACTCCACAAACTGAATTCTTAGAATGTTTCTCTCATTTGTGCATTCCACGCCCTAAGGACTAATCTAACTTCTGTCTATTATAAGGAGATACACTTTCATTTATATGTGGGGACATATATTATAGTTGTGATTATATCTGAATATACGAAAAAATAACATTTTTTAAAACTCAAGTGATTTTTCACTATATGGATTAGGCAAAAGTACAATTCAAAAAGTAAGTCATGACCTAAACACCTTATTTTGTAACTTTAAAACTTTTCTGAATTATTTTAATATAAATGCTTAATTGTACCTAATACAGTTCCATATATATGGGAGACTCTTTTTCTACTGAGAGAGAGCTTAACTCAAAAGCTTCTATATACTCAATCAAGAGTTGGAATATTATACATCAATCACTAATTTCATTCATTGAACATTTAAAGGGAATAAATGGAACTGTTCTAAAACTTTCTTTTGACCTATTATATAACTATTGCACAGACACAGCATATGTGTGTTTTTATATTGGCATATGATTATGCCTAAAATAATTTCTATCAACATTTAAGAAAATATTTTATCCTTCTCAACTGGAAGGTCATAATGATTATTATTTCCTAGAAAATTCTAGTGCTGGGTTCATGAATACACGCATGTATCTGTTTTAAAACCTCACTCAACAAATACTATATAATGGATTTTTTAAAATAGATGATACTATATGGAAAAAAGAAAAAGAAGTGCTTTTTCAGTAATTAATATTTCAGCATATGACCCGATAGAATAGTCTACTTCAAGTTAAAACACACAAAAAATTTTGAGTACATCTGTGAAAGCTACCTATATGTTACATCAATTCTGTACTTACAGAGTCAATTTCTCTTTACTTACCAAAGTCACACAGTTTCAAAATATCATTGTGGCTGATTAAGAGATTTTCTGGCTTTATATCTGGAGTATCAAGATTAAAAAAAAGGTATTAAAAGATGTTCCATATACCATTTGATGACTACAACAGCACCTTATTAGAAACACCCAGAGTAATTTATTAGCATATCTTATACTGATACATAAAAAGCGTATTCTTTTTGAGAAACATGCAGACCTAATTTCAAAAATATTTTTACCTTTAAATCTTAAAGGGGTTAATCAGATCTCTGAAAGGAATTTAAGAATTAAAAAGTTCCAAGGAACTTTTACTTCATCAGATACTAATAATACAGTTTTTGAAGACAGAAAATAAAATGCATACTCACAAAATACCTTAAAAATACATATGAGAGTTAAGTAGATAGGATTGTATTTATTGGAGGAAAACATACATATAAGATACATTTTCTATTATGATTTTCTGTATAATTTCTATATTTACATCTCTTAGCTTCTTTGTGGAGAACACTATTGCAAATGTGAAGCTATACTGGATGAGTCAAGATAAGACTTCTCATTTTTTCCTATGTATCTTTTGAAGATGTGGTAGGAGTTAAGAAATAGAAAAACACAGAAAATGCAGTTTAATTTCCTCTTAGGAGGCATGTCACAATTCTATTTTTTTTTAAAGTACCTATCACCTATATTATATGGCAGAGGTAAAAATGGAAAACAGGACAAGGTAAGAGTGAAATCTGTAGATTTCAGTATCATGGTTTCTATGATTAATTCACAACCACTGATTCATTATACACTTAACCAAATCACAGTATCACTATGGAAATGTAGCCACATCAGTTCCTTATTAATAGCCTTAAACTATAGTATAGACTATTATTCACTGTACTTTCAAAATGTACTTAAGTGAAATGTCAATGGCTACAAAATATTAAGACAGTGATGTATAAAATATTTTATTGTTAACTTTTGTTTGGTGTTTTCATTAGTATTTTCATTTCAAAAACCCCATACTCACCTCTATGGACAATATCATTCTTATGGCACCAGTGAATAGCTTTGATTAGCTGATAGATATAACTTTTTACTTTCTCAGGTGGAACTCCATTTGGCATTTCTTCCAGCAATTCTAGCATATTCTAAAAAATAATAGGGAGCCATTAATTTCAAAAATTAGGTATACCCATCCCATAAGTCATACATAAAAAAATTTAAAAGGCATCTTGGATGATAATTCACCCAATACATAGCATGCATTTGTTTTGTTTGGCTTTCTATCTATAACCTTTTTCATGCTGAAGCAGGATATTGTATTAAATCAAGGTTCTCTTTTAAGAGAAATTCCATTTTTACTGCTCCCTAATGCGACCCTAAATAATAACCCTGTACAATTTTCACTCTCCCTAAAACCTTTCTGTCATAGTTTTAGAATAATTTTAAGGGAAAAGCAATTGAAGTAGTGATAAAACATTGTCATGTATTAGAGCAGGAAGAGGAGAAGGGGAAAATAGTCATTATAACAAAGCGCATTGCAGAGCTTTAATAAAACCTTACAATATAAAATCAAGCCTTGAAAATATTTCTGGGAGACCTGAAAAATATTCTTAAAACAAAATGATCCCGAAGATTAGATGTGATCAATACATTTAATATAAAAATTAAAACAGGCCAGAAAGAAAATTAAATAAAAATTCACAATAGTATTTCAATAAAAAATGTTTTTAAAAAGAAATGATATGAGGCCAATATTTTTATCAACTTTTAAATTCACATAAACAGCCATAGAATTTAGAAATATCTAAAATACAGGCTTGTCATTGAGGAAACTATAATTTGATTGTGGAAGTGAGACATGTACTTTTCAAAGTAAGCCAGAAAGACAATATAAACAACCAATAAGTATTATAGGGTTATTACCTATCTAGTACCCTCATCAGTAAAATTTCTGTATCCATTCCTCTGGTTTCTATATATACATTTACAAAGTATGGGTATGTATGTGTACTTCTGTCAACCTGTATATTGCATCCTAAGAAAACATGAATTGCTTCCTTTAGTAAAATTATACTATAAGTGAAATCACAAATGTTTAAGAAAAAATTCATAGAATCTAAACAAACCATTTTTTTTAAAGAATGGTACACAAATATACTTGTTATCACATAATGAGTTTATTATTGCTATTAAATGAATTAATAGTATTTTAATATTGCTCAGTTTTGACTTCTAATATGATACCGATCAAACTCACATAAATAAAAAGATTGAGGGTTTCCAAAAACTTTAAGTGTAAAGGAGTCCTAAGACCAAAATGTTAGAAAAATCACTGCACACTAATATAACTCACAATTTTGTTCCCACCAATCAAACTGTAAGCATACAAATATGTAGTTTAATAATCAAATAGATGATATAATCCCATACCTATTTATAAGAAATGCATTTGTTATTTTAATATAATGAAATATCATCTAAACCAATGAATATTTTGAAAAAAAACTGCTACTAAAAAACCAGAACTGAATACTTAGGAAAGAATTACTAAAGGAAAATAGCTAAACATATCGTCAGCTAATCAAATGTGACTGAAACAACTATAAAACCAGCAAAGGACATGCAGAAAAGGATTCTGCATTGAGATTGCTTTTCAAGGTTGTTTTTTTGTGGGGTTTTTTTTTGTGTGTGTGTGTGGGACCCTCCCCGGCAGCCGGGAAATGAACCAGCGCTGCAGAGGCTGTGGGCAGCCTTGCAGCCCAGCTCTCAACCGCTGCACCACCAGGGGAGGCCTCCTTTTCAAGGTTTTTAAGCTTTTGTTTCACTGTAAAAGAAGCTGACACAAACTATTATAGTTGATACATTATGGGAATGATGTACACAAGGAAGACCCATCAAAATTCCAACCAGAAGATCAACATTCAAAAAAGGCCTCAATCCTACCTCCAAAGAGTAGTAAATGAACATATTGATATGTTTTATTTAATATAAAATAAAATGTTTCAAGTATATATCCATCATTTTAAAAATGATTCTCTACTAGAATAGCCTGTTTCAATTAACAAATGCATAGGAGGTCCCAAAGGCACAGAAGGAATAAGAGGGCTTTGTAATGTAGAAACTAATTTGTATCTCTCATTTCACATTCAACTCTAAATTCCTTGGTGGCAGAGAAAAATGTCTCCCAGTATCCCTCCTTTCGTTACTCCACAGCAGTACAATTTGTATGGGGATGCACAGGTACCAGCACGAAGAGCACATTTCCCCTCTGCCTTACAGCTAGCATGGCCATGCGACTAAGTCCTGACCATTGGAATGTGACAGCTGCAGCCTGCTTGGCCTTAAGGACAAGGGCAACATCTCAGGAGTCACAGAGCAAAAAGACAGAAGCTGGGTCTCCGACTGCTATGGAGCACAGCTGCTATCCCTGCACTGTACTGCACACCTTTGGAAATGAGTAAAAAAGAAACTTCTATTTTGGTTAAGCCACTGCAATCCCACATCTCTGTTACAACCCTCTAGCTCTTAGAGCATCTTTCTCCTTGCCCTCTTGAGGGTCACTGTCAATTGTCAGATGTTGCCACTGATGGGAGGGTGTGATGGCCGCTTTCCACTGAAAAGCCACAGGACCTGGGCAAGAAGGGTCTAGGGGGTCAGGAGACTGGAGCGCTGTGGCAGCTCTGCCACTTGCCAGCAGAGGGTCTCAGACCCACCAAATGCCTGATACACAGAGGCGATTTCTCCATTTGCTCATGCTAAGTTGTTATTAATCATCAACAATCACCACAAGTAGGACAGAAATAAAAAAGAAAAACTGAAATAGATCAGTAAGAATTTTTTTGTTTGACAGTGAAAACTGTAAACTGCATGATTATTTTTGACAACTGAAAAATTAAGAGCATCTGATTCTGGAGCAATCCTTTTTCATAACTTTTTTTTAAATACCAAATTTTAGGTTTATTTTGGTGGGGGAAGGTTCCTTAGGGGAATGCCTAAACTGACAAAGAAAAGGAAAACTAAAAACAGATTTTTGAAAAGAAGCATAAAACAGTGTCTTAAAATGACAAAGAGCCTTATAATATTTTTCAAGTTTTGTTATGAAGTTACAATATATTTTTAATTAGAGAAATAATTTGTGAAGACTGAATGAGTTCAAAGCCACATTCTTGGGAGTCATTTTGGCAACACCACTTCCACTCAGTCAGGTGCTGGTGGCAGTACCCTGTCATTGGTGACATAGGAAGCACCTAGGAACTGACCTCTCCAGACTTGATCTTCTCTAGATAATAATATAGGAAATCAGCAGGAGCCACCTAGTTATTCATCAAGGAAACCTCTAAAAGGTCCATTGGAATCCAGTTTATTCTACTCTTGTTAAGGCACTTTTAAGTTCTTGACAATAATCAACTACTATAGGGCAGCTGTTCTCCCAGAAAATCCTGAGCATACAACATTGATGACTGTAGTGAACATCTGTTCTTAAGTCATATCATTAAAATTGTCATTAAGAAGTTGATTTAAAAAAAAAAAAAAAGGTGCCCGCAGCCTCTGCAGTATGAGTTCTATCCTGGCCGGTGGGGAGATACCCACATGGCATGGCAGACCTCTCCTGTCTCGCCCGCTGCTCCCCTCAGCAGTGTATTTCAGTCAGCCTGCCTGTTCTGTTCCCCACTCTGTCTCTGGTGAATCCTCTTACCCTCCCACACATCTGGCCTGTACCCCAGTTCTTGTATAAATATTAAAAATAAAATAAAATAAAAAAATACTCAAGCAAGGGTGCAGCCTCTTGTGAACTGCCGGTGCTTTGGGTCTGAAGTGAAAGAAATGTGCTTAGAGGCTTAAGGTGAGGCTGGAGGAGGTAGATGAGACCTGACCACAGAGAAGGGTGGGAACATGGAGGAAAAGAAGAGACGCATGCTGTGAAGAGGCTGCTTCACGAGCCCACTCACTCACCCCGCAAGGTCTAATTCGGACACCCACCCTATGCTTGCATGATGTCACACACATACCTATATCATCTTGTGTCACTACTGCCAGTTTACGTCTCTCTCCCTCAAAGGCCTTCATTAGGTTTAATTAAAATAGGTCAAGTCCAAATTACTTGCTGGACATAGACTGTTAGACTTCAGAAGCCAAATCAATACATTTAAACATAAGATTATCTCTGTACAGTTACACTGTACAAAATCTTTAAAGATATTTCAGAACTTCTAATGATTACGGATGATGTGTTCATTTGTAAAGTATTCAGATGATGAGGCACTGACCTGTCATACAGTCAGATCATTGAGAGTCCTTCTCTGAATGTCAGAAACAGTCCTAAGTAAAAGAATCAGGCAAATCTCCGTAGCATCAATGAATGACTTACTTTTTCAACATATTCAAACACCAAGTACAATTTCCCTCTGCGACGAAAGGCTTCCTTCAACTCCACTATGTTTTCCTGTTTGAGAGTCCGAAGCATCTTAAGCTCTCGTAAAGTCGTTTCCTTGACTTCTTCATTTTCTAGAATATAAACAATAGTGAATGAGGTCAAATTAGTGCTTTTAAAGTGCTGTTCAAAAAATTCCGAGTACACCGAAAACATAATTTCACTTTCCATTTTGAGTCCAAAGATAGAATATTAAATATCATATTTCCTTGTTGAAAGAATCAAGAATAAGGAACTTAAAGAAGCAAATGCTTACTTGACCAGCAGGCACCTAATTTTCTGCTTGGGTTTTCTTTTACAGCACATCCTTGAAGAACATCATTTCATTACAGCGTTGACAAGAAAAAAATGAATCCTGGCCAACGTGGAATTAAAAGATGTTTTTCAAGGACCTACTTTCGCTACATGTCCTTTCACTTAAAAGTCACAGTTTCCAGAACCTATTGACAACGTTAAGTGAGGGCTTGCTATATGCCTGATCGCTAAGTGTTTATGTAAAACAGACTCACAGCGAGGGCGCATGAATGCACTGTCATTTGAACTCTTATGCTACACAATGGGGGGAGAGTTTGAAAGGGTGAAAAGGAATCAGTATCAGTGTGCAGAGGAGTCTCTATTTAGCGTCTCCGACAGTTGACATTTTTAAATTTGGCCTGAAGCTTTGGCTTAAAAGAGCATTTGATTCCTCAGGCGCCATGTGCGTCACTTCGGGGAGCAGAGGTCACGTGCCAGGCATCCACAGGGCATCTCATGGTCAAGTTGCAGGGAATTCTAAATGTCTGATCTGTCTGAACAGCAGCTGCTGTAGGTTCCTGCAGTCCTCCTGTGGCATGTCCATCTGTCCATCCCAGATGGTGTAGCTATACTGGGATGGAGAACTCGCACTGACCCAGAATACCCTTCCACATCATGCACTTCACTCGTGATTACCTCCACAGACACGAGGAAGGGCAGAAGTCACATTAACTCTAATAGGTCAATGGGCAGGAGGAGGAAAGGTAACACACCATTTTAAATGAGTTTTTATGATGGCTTTAGACTTAGCCAGCCAGAGGTGTTTGCATATGTATACACAAGGATACAGGTTCATAACCCCTCACATGGAATTCCAACATCCAAAAAGCGGTCTAAAAACTTAAGGCCTTTTTTGAGTTCATAGCAAATTTCCTTAGAGGCAAAACCTGAACTGATATGAGGCCATTTCTGATCTTTGTTTATCCCACTCAAGCTACTTTCTCAGAGGCCGTGCTTTAGTAATTGTACCTGATTATGGGGTGCTGGAGTAACATGCCCATTTCTACTCCAAAGTCAAAAAGCTATGAATTCTGACACACATTTGGTTGCTGGTTTTGGGTGAGGATCCTAGCTTGAGAGTAAGAATTGTGTGAGCTGCAGTTCAGGCTTGTCTTCAAGTCTGGAGAGGATGAAAATGGAGTTTGAGGATAGAGACAAGAAGGATTTAAGATGGCTTCTAGGAAGAAATGCCTCTTAAGCGAGACACAGAGGGGCAAGAGACTGAATGGGGCCAAAGAGGGAGGGGAAGAGTCTACATGCAGTGGTGGGAGCACTTACTTGGTAGGGTCTTTTCTATCCCAGCTCTGTCACTCACCCCCCATTCAAACAGAGTTTAAAGAGGGACTCTAAGCAAAGCAGGTGCTTGGCAGAACCAGAATATCAAACAGGGAACTTAAGATCAACAATCCTATGTGACCTCATCACCCGGTGAAATGTTCTCCCTGTATCAGCAAGAAAACACATGGAGGACACTGGAGTGCAGATAAGGGGAGGCAGAGAGACACTGCCCAGCAGAAGGCAAGCGCTAGTAGCAGTGAAGGCCAGCAGCGGCGTCAGCAGTGAACCAGCCCACGTCAGCCCACAAAATGGTGAGTGCCACCTGGCAGTAGGGGGCTGCGCGATGTGTGGTCAGGGGACTTCCCAAAGTGGGTCTGGGGACTATGATGGGCCGAGGTCCAGCCAGTCTGCAATGTGGGGCTGAGAGCCAGAGAAGTGCTGTCTTGCACCTGCTCGAACTGCTAAGTCCTAGATAGCTAGAAGGCGTCAGAAGGCTAACCCCCATCTCTGCTCTCCCACCTGGCTCTCAAGGTTGGGGTAATTGAGCTAAAAGCCACCTCTCTCTACTTCATAAGCAGCCGGGACCTTCTCACAAGGAAGTGGTTCAGCAAGAGACAAATGTAAATACATTGGCTACTCGTGACCTGGCCCCTGCCTGCTTTTCCAGCCGCATCTCACGCCCCTTTCCTTCTCTCTCATGTGAGTCATTCAGTTCCCTTAAGAGCCCCAAACTTTATTTTTCAGACTTAGGGGCTTTGTACTTATTTTTTCTTCTTAGAAATTTTATTCTACTACCCGGACTCTTTACGGGGCTGGCTCCCTTAGGATGCAGTTTCAACATCCCTCCTCAAGAGCCTCGTGAGGTCACGAGACCATGAGGCCACCCCCCCTCCCCCACTGGTGGGCATCACAGTAGACTGAGTTTTTCTCTCTCTCACGGTGTTTATTTACGTATGTTTGCTAAGTGGGTTGCCCTCTATGCGTCCATCCAGGAAGACACGTCTAAGTTCTTCTCTCCCGTAGCATAGACCCAGCCACCTGGGCCCACACCTGGCACAGGGGGACAGTATGGCACTGCTTCCTACAGATACGCTCTCTCTGGTGCCCCGAGGAATTCTTGATGACTGTGTGGCTAATTCTTACTCTCTCAGGACACAGATGTGATGGCAAATGGCCCCTACTCCTCTTAGCTTGAGTACTGCTTTCAATCTTCTCTCTCTAGACTTTGAAAGGGCAGTTTTTCAGGCAAGAAGACAAAGGGAATTTGTTTTCCCCTACTCAACTATGGCCCTGGTTGTCTTCTACAATATGTGATTATGAATAATGGAGCTCTGGAAAACCGATAGCACTAAGGGTCAAAAACACAAATCTATTTGATTACTCAGAGCACCCATAAGACCTGCTGGAGCTGGACATGAATAAATGTTGCACCAACGACATGGGCCTTTTGAAGGCATCATTAAGTGAAATAAGAGAAAGACAAATGCTGTATGATCTCACTTATATGTGGAAGATAATAAAAACAAAACAAAATTAGAGATCAGACTTGTGCTTCCCAGAGGCAAGGGTTAGGGGAGGTGGAACTGAGGCAAGATGGTCAAAAGGTACAAACTTCCAATTGCAAGATAATTAAGTACCAGGGGTGCAACATGCAGCATGGTGGCTCTAGCTAACACTGCTGCATGAGATACAGGAAAGCTGTTAAAAGAGTAGATTCTGAGTTGTCTCCCCAAGAGGAAAATTCTATTTTTTTTTTCATTAAATGAGGCTTACCTCATGGAATTTTGGCATTTTGTTACAATACATCGCCCATATCTAGGCTGGCTCTACTTAAGAATGGTGACAGAGAGAAGAGAAACGTATCTTCCAAAAGGAACTTACAAAATCACTTTGCACAGAGTGCCAGAGACACTTGGTTAAGCATGAAGGCTTCTCTAATTTATGCCAGTCACAGGTATTAAAAGTTGAGGTAAGCACGTCAGCCCTAAGATTGCAATAAATGGGAAGAGACATGAAGTGGAATTATTCATTCCCTTAAGTGCAGCAACATGTAGACTCTTCATCAATAGGCATATCCTATTATTTTTGTTTCTCTGAGTACTTTTGAGGTTCCTGGCTTCTCCCACACTTGATGAAAACTGTGGCACTAAAGGGCCACAAGATGGGGGAAAGAAATGCATCTTCCTCTTACACATGCTGCTGTCCTCAGAGGTTCACAAAGTAGCAAAGCTCTTCAGTGAGGCAGTTTTTAAAGAAGATGGCACAGCCCACTGAGATGAACATAAAAATTCCTGCCTTGTAGTGAAATGACCCCTGGGGTTCTTTATGGAGGCTAGCTCATCTAGCTCACAAGAAACCAAGTCGGGGAAGAAGAGCATTCTCAGGGCAGGGGAGGGAGTTTCGGCACACAGCAGACATTGTGCGGAAGGCCGCCAGGAGAGGGCTTCAGAGGCTGAGTTGGATGCCCTAGGATCAGGTCTAGATCTTAATGCTTAGCAGAGTGGAAAGCAGGCCGGAGGGCCTCCCTGGTGGCGCAGGCAGTTGAGCGCTGCACTGTGAAGCTGTCCACAGCCTCTGCAGCACAGGTTCAATCCCGGCCGGCCAGCAAGAATCCCACATGGTGCAGCAGACCTCTCCTGTCTCGCCCGCTGCTCCCCTCAGCAATGTATTTCGTTAGTCTGCCTGTTCTGTTCCCCACTCTGTCTCTGGTGAATCTTCTCGCCCTCCCACGCATTTGGCCTGTACCCCGGTTCTTGTATAAATAAATAAATCTTTAAAAAAAAAAAAAGAAAGAAAGAAAGCAGCCTGGCATGGGTGGAAGACCCAAAACTGGGGTCTGCACTTAAGTCACAGCTAGTGACATATTAGTCATGCAGTTTTGGCCTTGGATTTCTTGGCTATAAACTGGATTGGGTTCTACTAGATGATTCTGAAGGTTCTTCCAATTCTTTGACGTGGTAACATCCTATGTGCCGGTTGATGGACCTGCTCGTCAGGTACCACAGCACAGGTAGCAATTCCGACAGCTACATAAATTATACTGAGTGACGACTAAAATGCAGGGTAGGAAAAGGACATTCATTTAAAAAAAAAAAAAAAACAAACCTAAAGTTGACACCTCTAAGCTTGCCAGCAAGGCAAGTTAATACATATAAGAATCAAGAAGAGAGGGCCTCCCTAGTGGTGCAAGGGGTTAAGCACAGCACTATGAAGCAATCCGCAGTCTCTGCAACATGATTTCGATCCCCGGCCAGTCAGGGAGCAACCCATATGGTGCAGCAGACCTCTTCTGTCTCGCCCGCTGCTCTCCTCAGCAGTGTATTTCACTCAGTCTGCTTGTTCTGTACCCCACTCTGTCTCTGGTGAATCCTCTCACTCCCACAGCTCTGGCCTGTACCCCAGCTTTTGTATGCATAAATAAATAAATCTTTGAAAAAAAAGAATCAAGAAGAGAGATTCACTAAAGTAAAAGAAAACAATTTTGAAGAAGATCGATAGGAGGAGAAGAAAAGCAAAGTTAAGTGATGAAGAGAAAAATCTAAAGATGAGCAGAAATTCTATTGTAATGCTATTTTTAAAGAACTGTGGGCTAGGCAAGAGATCTAGAAATAGCTATAACCTACTTTGTGAAATCACAAACTTGACATTCTTGTATAGCCAAAGAGGGCCCCCCAAATGGACCTTTAAACAGGTATACTGGGGGTAAAAGTCAACTCCTCCTTGTACAAAACCATGGTGGCGGTGGGGTTGGGGGTGGGAGGCATGTTTGAGTCTGGTTGGATTAAAGAAGAAACATCAACAGGACAACTAACAAGGCGGAGGGGTTTGAATGGTAGTGCTGCTTTCATATGTGCTGAAAAAGTTAAGAATCCTTAAATCTTCATCAGAGATGAAGGCCAGGTTAAAAAAAAAAAAACACAATGAAAAATTTATTGAATCATGAGAGGTGCAAACATTCACCAAATCCTGGAGGAATCCCTGAGAGAGATCTATCTAGGACTTTAACAGGAAGTGTGGTGAAAATCCTGGCCAGAATACTCAGCTCAGTTCGCTGAATTCTGTTTCAGCAAGAATTGAAAAGCTTGCTTCAAGGTCTCTCTTACAGAGAATTGAAGTTAAGAGCAAAGACTATGAATTCCTGGTTTGGCTCCTTATGCAAAGTAAGAGACCAGAGTTAATAACTCTGTTCCAGAGGCCTGGATAGAACATTTTCTTATGATAAAGAAGAAATATGTCCATTCCAACAGAAAAATATTTAAAGAAAAAATAAGAAGCAGAATAAGAAGTGCTGCAACTATGATACCAAAGCACCATCTAAATAACATCTTAATTGTGAAGTGCTGATGCGGCTCCGAGTCAGTTCCTTAACACGCACCAAGGCACAGTGGTCAGTAGGGAAGAAACCTTCTACCCGCCTCACCGGTACACTCAGGGAAAGGCTGAGAAGTCCAAGGAAGCAAAAGGTATTTTCCTATCAGGAAATCCAAATGTATGTAAAAAATAAATCCCAGACCACAGAACCTCCTAAAATAAAGGTTGAACAGACAATGTTTTTAACTCTTGTTGGTTCAAAGCTATCTGGTCGAAATCAGTGCCCTGGATTAGTTAACAAAGCGAAGATGGCAGACACATGGATGTGTGTGTGCATCAGAATGATGAGGCAATAGTGACCTGAACATCAACTCTTATTGTACACATCTGGAATTATATTAGGAAGGGTAGGAAAATTAGGCTATTTGAATTAAATTGAGAATTATATATAGTCTGAAAAGTAGCTTTTAGCTAAATTATCTGTATTTTTTTAGTCTATGGTCATTTTCCTTTTCTCAGAAAACCCAAATACTAAACAGAACTAATTCTATGGAATCTTCTGTTTGGTTAGGCACTTGTTGATATTTCTCTGTGGGAACATAAAACTATCAATCAGGGTGGCATTAAAAATTCATTGTCTGAGACTCCACATTAATGATGTTTAAAGATGCAAAAGTCATCAAAACAAGAAAATAATAACTAATGAAATGATTGCAGATAAATATGTCATGCCTTAGACATTCCTCCCTTTTAACAGGAATTTTTATCCCCACCCAATGTGTCAAAGTCTTTCAGGGAGAATCTTAGGCAAAGACACTGACAAATGACCTGATAGAGTTATATCAATTAATAACTGGAGAACAAAAACCCGAAAAGGATGAAGACAGAAAGAGGGGAGCACATGAAAAATGAAGAGAAAACTGACAAAGCATTTTACTATTTTTTATGACCTTCTTTTTACTGTGAAATTCATTGACCTAATCTACAATTTTACTCAAAAATTGCTCTCCCCCAAATAACATTTGATTCTATCATCTAAGAAATGGCACGTAGTTGCTATAACCCAAATTATGTGTTGAATGTAAGAAAAACTTATTTTCATAATTCTAGTTTTATTTTCCCAACTTAAAGTCCCAATCTGGTCATTTACTTACTGTGAAATTTTGGTTCTCATTTTAAGCAGTAATCAATTATCCCAGGGGAATATGGACCTCTCGAATGAAATAGTAGTCTACCATAAATGTAGTTTGAAAAACTTTTTACACAAATGTGTGGATACATATGAATTTTACAAGAAAGTAGGGCAACATCATAATCTTTTAAAGCTTAATAGAAGGTAATATACACTCTCATAAAATATCCTTCATATCATCATTGAGAGAGTACTTGATTAGCTTAAATGTGGGTCAAGCCAAGTTTGAATCCTATTTTAATTTAAAAATGCTTTTACATGATTATTTCATTATCTTCACAAAGATTTTTAAACAGTAGATTTCAAAAAATCACTATAATATCAAAAGAATATTTTCAGAGTGACTGGTAAAAGGGATTAATGAGAGCTATCTGAAAATAAGGGCAATATCATCAAGAGACTCTATTTTTTTTATTATAATTGGCCTGATTGAAATTTCAGATGATAAGCTGATTCAGAAATTAGTGGTTTACATGGGGGCTGAATGAACACCCTCCATACTAGATTATGTACATTTCACGCTCCAAAAGGGTTGTGCACCACACATGCTCCCTGTCTTTCCATTAAGCAGGAACCACTCCAGCAGGAAGAAAAGAGAGAAAAGAGCACAAGATTAACCAGGGAGAAATAGAAAAGAGCAGGAAAGTGTGCCTAGGCTTGGAATTAAAAAATTATGAATAGTTAGCTATATCTTCAGATTCTATCACAAGAATGTTTAGGCATCACTACAAAGAAGTGTGTCTGAAAGCACAACAGCAAAAAAGGTGTCCATCATGAACGCGGGTGGATGGTGATACAACTGGGTGCCAATGAAGTTTGTTAACGGACAACAGTCTGGCAGAGATGAGGGCAGAGGGGATTTACGTCTTGTCAGTTTAGTGAAATAACGGCAGATCAATATTTCCCATATCTAAACTATTCCTGCATTCTGAGATGTCAGAGCTAGAAAACCTCTTTCGCCTCCAAATTATACAAATTCATTTAGGCACTGACTACTTTCTATTCTGTTTTACTGCAATTTATCTACAGGTCTTAATTCTACTAAAAGGTCAAAAGCTTTTTGGAAGTATCTGCACCTGATTTAGTTTCACAGCTCTCACAGCACCTGGCTCAGTGTGCAGTGAATTTCGATACACACTATTGGCTGCTCCTGTGAGGGTATCATAACACAGGTGCAAATGTATCATTTCAACAAAGCTAAGAACTGATATGCACAGGATAGAGATTGTAAAGAAAATGGGACTTTAACAAAATCAATGACATACATGACCTAAACTGCACTGCTTTTCAAAAATTAGATGACGATTATTTTTTTGCTGGAAACTGACGCTCGATGATGTGCCTTACAGGGTGAATACACAGCCAGTAGCCTTAACACCAAAGCAAAGGTTATGCTTTGATCTACTGTCGCCACCACTCTTTTTAGCAGGTCACCATTTGTCTCTTGACCACCTGGGGTTAGCAAAAGCCACTGCTCAAAGAGCTCATTTCCAATGGCCTCATAGTGGGCTGGCCTGGGCCTATTGCTTCCCATTAGATCATAGGTACATCATTTAAAGCAGCACTTTTATTCTTTTAAAGAACAAGCTAAAAGCATTTTATTTAGTGCCTTTCCTATATGGCTACCGAGGCAATGATGGCTGCTCATGTGCTCCACATGAACACCAGGCTTGGCTTACATCAAATACTACTGAATCTAGCACCAGACTTTGTTAGCAAGCCCTTTTCGTTATTAATGGCTGCTAAGTCTCTGAGGTAAGGGTGATGAAACTTCCCAAATCCACAGACTGGTAGCTTACGGTCCTTAATAGAAACGTGCGCCAATGGTCGCAGGCTATGGCTGCTCTTTTCATGCTTCCGGTTATGTATGAATAGGAAACTTTAAATTGATGCTGTGTTGATGCCTCACACCCCTTGAGTACTGTTTATCAAGTGATAGGCTGGGAATCATTAGTGGTGAAATCAATGTCTTTTACACCACAATTATTTATATGACTTTGTATGAGCAGGAAAGAATAGAAGATGGAGAACCTCACATTAGTAAAATAGTTTTGCGACACTTCTGCTTTAGTTATATACAATACATTCTATGTGTAGGCCCTGGGTTAAGAAGTAAGAATATTCTACTGTGGGTCTCTGCCCAAAAAGCTGGAAAAATGTTGCCTGGAACTCCTTAAGGACCACATGTTCTTCGGGGTCAAGTCTACTCGGCTATCTGTGACTGATCAATAATCTAGATTTAAAACCTACTGGAATGCTTTATTTTAAACTTTCTTCCCCAGCATAGGGTAATTTAATACTCCATTTGAAGTGGTCTGGACATGTGGGCAAGGCCTCCAATTAAAAATTGAAAAGCTTTAATTTTCCCAATGAGTTATTCTAAATATAAATCACTCCCTTAATACTGTCTACATTCCACTTATTTTGTATTTCTAACTCTGATTAGGAACCAGAAATAACACTAACCAATATTTTGTGAACCCACAGAGTATGTACTTCAAATCTGTTTTCTTGTTTTAATAATATTTAGAAACTGTAGACAGCACGCCTGCTTCATTTCCGATGTCGGCTGTACCGTCGAATATATTTTTTTCTAATATTTGAATTTTCTAATATCTAAAGATACACAGAAAGAACTAAATGTTTCAAGGCAAAGCATGACAAATAAGCCATATTCATTTTCTGAGAATGTGACTTTAAAATCTCAGTAACAGAGTCTAATCAGCTAGATCCCATCTCTTCCACATTCTATTCAAAAGAACTACAGAAAGAGCATGAATATATGTATATATAAAATATACCTTCACTGTCCTTGAATTTCTTGATTGCCACGATTTCATGCGTTTCCTGAAAAGGAAGAGAGGCAGAAAGAAAGTCATTCTTCAGTGTTTTTCAAACAGGGAATCACAATTGACTGGAGGTATATTCTAGGACATAGTTGCAAGAACTCACAGTGTTCAAAAATAGATCCTTCTTAGACTTTCATTTCTTGGTTCCAAAAGTCTCTTTATTACCATCCTGCAGACACTGCAGGGAAGGAAAAGTAGGGGAGCCACAGGGCGGGGCGGGGCAAAGAGCAGAGATGGTGATAGCACATGAACTAGAACTGGCTAAGTCTTGGGGCTACACAAAAGTGACAGGATGACTGATAACAGACCACCATCTGCATTGCCCTCAGAGACCCAGGGACCCATTTTAATTGAACTTCTAAGACCAGAGAAAAAGCTTCCACAACATTACTTGGGAGTTGCTGGTCACTGAAAGCCTTTTCCAGGTTCCCTACTTCACTTACCTTCTCCTAACAGACAAATCCACTTGTTCACCAGCAATTCTCTAGATTGACGGTCATTTCATACCCAAAGTGGGTTAAATATTTGCCACCCAATACAAATCACCACCTCCCTGTTGTCCCTATTCAGCACTGTAGAATTAACAGAGGTAGTTTGTTAGTATCTACTTTAAAACATCAGGGTTTTTGTTTGTTTTTGGCCTTTTTTGGTAGTAGTAAAGAAAATAAGGGTTGGAAAGGGAATAGAAATGCTAAGGCAGTACCACTAGGCTAAATAATTCATGTCTAATTCTGGTCTATAAAAGGCATTTTAAAACTTTTGGTAAAGTAACTAATATTCTTCAAAGCCAACATGTTATATTTAAAGGTCTCACAAATAGTTCAGGCCTGCTCTTCCTTACTCAAAATGGGTACACTTTCAGATCTATAGAAGCCGATCTTTTAGGAAAACATTGCTTCTACGGTAAAACAAAGGCTAAAAATGGACACAATGACAGGCAACAACCAAGCGGGCAATATATACTTTTCTGCTAAGTTCTTTAGAAAAACAAGGGGACTCGTGGAAAAAAAAAAAATGACCCTTCAAATCATGCTGAAAGACAAACCCTGAGTAGTAGCTATGTCTGTAAATCAAACCCTTTCTGTTTCTCATCTGCCCACTGACAAAAGAGCACTTACTAGATTTCATATTCATGTTATAAGGGGAAACGTTTTACCTGAAAATGTTAGAGGCAGTTGAGGAAAAGATTCTTCTTCTTCTTCTTTTTTTTTTTTTTTTTTTTAAAGATTTATTTATTTATTTATACAAGCACTGGGTACAGTCAGAAGTGCGGGAGGGTGAGAGAATTCACCAGAGCCAGCGCAGGGAGCAGAACAGGCAGAAGGACTGAAGCACACTGCTGAGGGGAGCAGAGGGCGGCAGGAGAGGTCTGAGCGCCATGTGGGACCCTCCTCCGCTGTCCGGGGAGCAGCCGGGGATCGAACCGGTGCTGCAGAGGCTGCGGGCAGCTTTGCAACCCAGTGCTCAATCGCTGCACCACCAGGAAAGCCCGGAAAAGATTCTTAAGGGTGTTACTCTTTTGTTTTTAATGGAGGAAGAGAATTGTAGACTAAAGACAACTTTGGGGTTATAATATTTTTGTATCTTAGCAGACCTTCTGACTTAAACTCAGCCTTTCAGTTATTTTCTGGTATTTTAACTGTTTCATTATTGGGAAGGAATGACTGCATATTCAAAGTGATGTGAGGGATGATCACTAGACTATCAGTACAGGTAGCTCCAGGTAACTCTTCTAGATAGGGACTCTCTCTTAATACAATGACCTCATTTTCTTACCCGGTCCTTTGCAAATGGCTCCCGCTAGTTACCTATCTGTGGCATAATGGAAAGAACGAATTCTATCAAGAAAGTGCTTGAAGCCCAAAGAAAGGGGCAGACAATGTAACAGGGTGGTCCCCAGGAAAGGGGGAGGTTCCAGGTTTCCCGTCCCACCCAAAAGGAGGGTGGAGCTGAGCAGGGAGAAGAAGCTGCAGAGGAGACTGAGGAAGGAAGGAGGTAAGATGGGGAGCAAGAAGGAAACCTGGAAGAGGCACATGGAGCCGAGAGACACGTGAAGAAACCACGCTTGCCTTTTGGTTGTGGACTGCTGACACAGATGTGGGTGAGAGACCCATGGGGAGGTGACAATGGCAGTTTTTGTCTTGATTTGGATTTTGCTTTTTTCCTCCCAGACAAGTCTGGTTGTTTCTGACCCTTTTCTGTGGGTCCCCACGGGAAGATGCTTTAGACTTGCTTTGGGGCCTTGCTTTGGGCCAATCCTGCTTGGGAGGACTTTTACCCACGAGGGGACGGGTAACTTTGGGTCCTTGATTTAGAAACTATATTCTTTGCCTTTCCTGTATTGTTTACAAACTGTATTAAATTTCCTTTTCATTAAAGTCTCATATGTTTTGTGTTGATGCGGCGGATGGCAGAACTTATTTAGAGCAGGCTGGTTTGCGGGGTCTGGGGTGCCCCTCTCCCTGCCCTATAACAACAACAGGTATCAGGGAGAGTAAAACTGCTCACACTTCCACTGAGAGTTGGTCGAGGTAGTACTCTAAATGGAAAGAGTTGCATCCTCTTTTGCATACATCCTAAATGTTAAAACTCTGTTGATTTTATAAAAGGTCTTACTTAGTTCAAAATTTCTAATGATATGACTACACATTTATTTATAAGTAGCTCATTTGTACTACCTTGAAGAAAACAATGCATTAGGTTTTTCCCCCTCTGGTATCTCATAAATAGAATCAATAATACACAACAGTTATCTGGCATGTATACACAATGGAACACTATTCAGCAATCAAAAAAGATAAACTCATGCCATTTGCAGCAACGTGGATGGAGCTAGAAGGAATGATGCTCAGTGAGTAAGCCAGAAGGAAAAAGAAAAATATCGGATGGTTTCACTTACAGCAGGAATATAGGGGAACCAATAAGACATCAGTGTAAAAAAAAATAATAACAGTACAAAACACAACAAAGCAAAAACAGACAATTATAAACCAGAGACATCCTGCAGGGGCGGAGGAGGGAGAGGGGTCAGAGGGAGGGAGGGAGGAGCACAAGGGGCTGAGGTGATGGTGCACGGGTGCCTTGGGGAAGGAAACTCTATGGGGACTGCACCTGAGGGGGTGGGGGGAAGCAAATATTGTTTTAAAATGACAGATGATGTAAAAAATAAAAATAATTAATTTAAAAAAAGAAAAAGAAAAACAAAACAGTTCTCTGAAAGGGGGGGGGACAAATAAAATGAATGTTTATTCTTTTTTTAATCTTTTTGGAATATCATGGAAGTCCTCTTTCCTCAACATACACACACAGTTAACACGGCATATATATTTAAAGAATAGAGTAAAATAGACTACGTTTCAACATAAAATCAATTCAATGTTTAGTTAAAACACATGTAATTAAGGTAGATGATGCTGGAAAGAATTTAACATTCCATTTTTATTTAAACTGCTTATACTATTATAAACTCATTATAGAAATATAAAGATATAGAAAGAGTATAAGAGTACCAGAGGAGTATAAAGAAGAAATCAAAAACTATATAACCCCAGCTAACCTACTAATATATTTTTCTTCCAGTCAATTTTTAGGTGAATGGAATAGTAATATTTTCTTAAAATGGAATAGTAATATTATATATCATGTTGTATGCTGCATTTATTTCACTTGATATTGTATAAGAAGCATTTTGATCTGTTATTAAATAATTTTAAAACTATCATAAGATGATTATTTAACCAGTCTATTGGTTACGGGAATATACTTTAACAGCTGCATCTTTATTTTCATAGATTAAATTCTGTAACTGGGTCAAAGGCATGGATAGTAAAGACTTTTAACAACAACAAAGTAACAACCAAAAATACATCATTTCATAGTTCCCTCCTGCAGTGTATGAAGAATACCCACACCACACACATAACCGACATTAAATACAATGGTTACATCTCCCTCTAGAGGTCATACCCTCCTGGCTTGCCTTTCAGCTGACTAAGCAGATGTCTTTCTTAATCGCTCATCACAAATAATCATTTTCAGAACTGAATGTTGCTTCTAACTCTTCAGAGCAACGTTTCCCTTCCTATGTCTTTGCCTCAGGTCACTCTTCCCTTCCTTTTTACAACTCATCCATACGAAGATAGGAAGAGACCCGCCAGGCCTGGTGTCCAGCAGCAGAAGAGGCTACTCGGGTGGGCTTTTCAGCCACCTGAAACTCGAAGGCAGATTGATGGACCTAAGCTGGATTTCAGAGCCTGGATTGCTAGCCAGCCTTCTCATCCGTGGGCTGGCGGGCCGAGGCTGGATCACCTGGGCAGGCTTTTCTGAATCTGGTGTTTACAGGGTGGTGCTCTGGAACCCATCCTTCCGAGTACATCCTGCTTGCTCCACACCTCTGTTCGCCACACCTTATCAACAGGAACTGCAAATCCTAGAAGGCAACGCCACTGCCAATCCTTCTCTACCTTGGCTGTACAGTACTTGGGCGCCTGGTCTCTGAAGATCTGGCAATACAGGTGCTAATGGTGGTTGGTGGGGCACAGAGAACTCCAGCTCTTGCTGGGTCACACAGCAGTTAGTACCGTGTGATGGCAGCCTGCTTCCAGCCCCAGGGGGCATGTGCCCAGGCCTTTTCCTATCCCTTTGTTTAGTTTGCTCTACTCTGGTTCAGAAGTAGAATAAATAGCCAGATACTTGAGGCTGTATTTTTCAATCTATCTTTCTGGATTTTCCCACGATCTTTGAGCTTTAGCTTCTTAATTTACAGAACTGTTCTGAGTTTTGTTTTTAAGCATTTTCATGGATATTTAATGGAGAGGTAGGAGGTAAGACATGAAGTTTTATGACTGATATCACCACTACCCTGACATACTGCATATAATAAAGATGTAGAGAAAGGAGAAAAATAAATGAAAGATAGCCCTGAAGAACTGTGTTTTAAATTCAATTTATTCACAAAAGCATGGTCTCCACAATGTCTGTAACATGTCACCAGCTATA